GAGATCGAAGCTGCTATCCTTGCATCTAATCCACTACCTCCTCAATAACCAAGCCAATGCTTTCACGTCTCCGCTCTTGACAATCAAGAACAGCTCAACTAGCTCGGGTACTTCCGATGCAATGACATTTCTGCAAGCCGTCAAACCTCATCTCTGCCTGAGTCTTAGCCGGAATGGTTCAAGCTCGGTGCCCAGAGTTTACGAGGTCTGCTGTGAGATTTTCTGGCTCATGCTGAAACACATGAGGGTGATGATGAAGGTCGGTGGGCTTCTTAGCACTGTTCAACTACAATAAGCTAACTCGAAACAGAAAGAACTTGAGGTGTTCTTGAAGGAGATCTATTTGACCATTTTGGAAAAGCGCAATTCGCCCGCTTTCCAAAAGCAATACTTCATGGAGGTTCTCGAGCGATTGGCCGGTGACCCACGCGCTCTGGTTGAGATCTACCTTAATTATGACTGCGACAGAACAGCATTGGAGAATATTTTCCAAAAGTATGTGCTCACTGCTCCACTATTCGATGGATGAACATGTCTGACATGTGTGATTCAAACAGTATCATCGAGCAGCTGTCGCGTTATGCAAGCATTCCTGTTACGGTCACCCACGCTCAACAGCAGCAATATCAGGAACACCATGTCAAAGTCTCATCCGTGGGGAGTGACTGGCATCAACGTGGAAGCTTTCCCCCTTCGTTGACCACTGCCAATGTAGCCAACGTCCCACAGCCAAGCTTACAGAATGTGCCACCCGAGTATACGCAGAAGAACCAGGCGGTCGTATGCTTGGTTGAAATTCTGCAGTCATTGGACAACTGGGCCTCACAACGTCTAGTCGACCCGTCCGCATCTATACCTCACTCGTCCTCTCAGAAATCGATCGACAATCCGAGAGATTCGATTGATATGAACACGGCCTCGTTTCTCTCTTCCCCACGCATTGAGAGTTTGGACGGCATCACAACTCCGGTGGCAGAGGACGATCCAAGCCAAATTGAAAAGGTCAAACAAAGAAAGACCGCATTCACCAATGCAGTCCAGCAATTCAATTTCAAGGCCAAGCGCGGAATCAAACTTTTTATCCAGGAGGGTTTTGTGCGGTCCAACTCACCCGAAGATATTGCTGCCTTCTTGTACCGGAATGACCGCTTGGACAAGGCCATGTTAGGAGAGTATCTCGGTGAAGGAGACGCGGAGAACATCGCTATCATGCATGCCTTTGTTGACATGATGGACTTCTCCAAGCGACGATTCGTTGACGCTCTTCGCCAATTTCTGCAGAATTTCCGTCTACCGGGAGAGGCGCAGAAGATCGATCGCTTCATGCTGAAGTTCGCTGAGCGCTACGTAACTCAAAACCCAAATGCTTTCGCCAATGCGGATACTGCCTACGTTCTTGCCTACAGTGTCATCATGCTGAACACCGATCAGCACAGTGCCAAGATTAAGGGTCGCCGTATGAACAAGGAGGATTTCATCAAAAACAACCGGGGCATCAATGACAATCAGGATCTGCCTGACGAGTATCTTTGCTCCATCTTCGACGAGATTGCGCAGAATGAGATTGTACTGGATACTGAACGGGAGCATGCCGCAAACCTTGGCATTCCTACTTCTGCGCCGGCCGGTCTGGCCACCAGAGCTGGACAGGTCTTTGCAACAGTTGGGAGGGATATCCAAGGTGAGAAGTATGCGCAGGCCTCCGAAGAGATGGCCAACAAGACCGAGCAGCTTTACCGCAGCTTGATCCGGGCGCAGCGCAAGACAGCAGTCAAGGAGGCACTTTCTCGCTTCATCCCGGCGACTTCAGTTCGCCATGTTGGCTCGATGTTCAATGTCACCTGGATGTCATTTCTGTCTGGCCTATCTGCTCCAATGCAAGATACACAGTACCTAGAACTGATCAGGCTTTGCATGGAGGGTATGAAGCTGGCCATCCGTATCAGCTGTGCTTTCGAGTTGGAGACACCTCGGGTTGCGTTCGTGACAGCGCTTGCCAAGTTCACGAACCTGGGTAATGTCAGGGAAATGGTGGCAAAAAACGTTGAGGCACTCAAGGCACTGCTTGATGTTGCTTTATCTGAGGGAAACCATCTGAAGGGTTCTTGGAGAGAAATCCTCACATGCGTCAGCCAGCTTGACCGACTTCAGCTCCTCACTGATGGGGTGGATGAAGGTTCTCTACCAGATGTCTCTCGAGCTCGTATTGTGCCTCAACCGTCCTCGGATGGCTCCCGGAAGTCTATGCAGGCAGCGAGACGCCCTCGTCCTCGGTCAGTCAACGGACCTTCTGCCTTCCGCACCGAGGTTGCCATGGAAAGTCGCTCTGTCGAGATGATTAGGGGTGTTGATCGCATTTTCACTAACACTGCCAACCTTTCGCATGAGGCCATCATCGATTTCATTCGGGCATTGAGTGAGGTTAGCTGGCAAGAGATTCAATCGTCTGGACAGACCGACTCTCCCAGAACCTACAGTTTGCAAAAGCTGGTAGAGATCAGTTACTACAACATGACCCGAGTAAGGATCGAATGGTCTAAGATCTGGGAGGTCCTTGGACAGCATTTCAACCAAGTAGGCTGCCATTCAAACACGACAGTGGTTTTTTTTGCTCTTGATTCGCTTCGCCAATTGTCAATGCGTTTTATGGAAATTGAGGAACTGCCGGGTTTCAAGTTCCAGAAAGACTTCCTTAAGCCGTTCGAACATGTCATGGCGAACAGCAGCGCGGTGACTGTCAAAGACATGATTCTTCGCTGTCTCATTCAGATGATCCAAGCACGTGGTGATAATATCCGCTCCGGTTGGAAGACGATGTTTGGTGTTTTCACAGTCGCGGCTCGAGAGCCCTATGAAGGCATTGTGAACATGGCCTTCGAGCATGTTACCCAGGTTTACAACACTCGCTTCGGCGTCGTCATAACGCAGGGTGCTTTCCCTGACCTCGTTGTCTGTCTGACCGAGTTTTCCAAGAACTCTAGATTCCAGAAGAAGTCACTGCAGGCGATCGAAACCCTCAAGTCAACAGTTTCGAAGATGTTGAGAACGCCAGAATGCCCACTCTCTCACCGCGGGGCTTCGTCCGAGGGCGCCCACGAGGACGCCACCAACCTGACGCAGCAACTCACCCGCCAGTCGAAGGAAGAGCAATTCTGGTATCCGATCTTGATTGCCTTCCAGGACGTCCTCATGACTGGTGATGACCTCGAAGTCCGCTCGCAGGCATTGACCTACCTCTTTGAGACTCTCATCCGGCACGGCGGCGAATTCCCGCAGGAGTTCTGGGATGTGCTTTGGCGACAACTTCTCTACCCGATCTTTGTAGTGCTGCAGTCTAAGTCCGAAATGTCTAAAGTACCAAACCACGAGGAGTTGTCTGTGTGGCTATCGACAACCATGATCCAGGCTCTAAGGAACATGATAACGCTATTCACACACTACTTTGATGCGCTAGAATATATGCTAGATCGCATTCTTGAACTTCTGACGCTATGCATTTGTCAAGAAAATGACACCATCGCCAGGATCGGCAGTAACTGCTTGCAGCAGTTGATCCTGCAAAACGTCACGAAATTCAAGCAGGAGCACTGGAATAAGGTAGTTGGCGCCTTTGTCGAGCTGTTCACAAAGACCACAGCCTACGACCTGTTCACCGCCGCGGCCTCCATCACTTCCAAGCCCACCTCCGCCCAAGCAAAACCCGCAAATGGTGAGACGGCAACCGGCGAAGACAGCGCAAACGAATCAGCCGAGACATCATCGGTCCAAGAGACCAGCAGTGTCGACCCATCCAAGATCAACGGATCACAGAACGTTGCTTCGGAGCACGAAGAGGGAGACATGCCCACGGCTTCCAATGCCGCACTGGAAGACTACCGGCCGCAAACAGAGGCCCAGCAACAACCCGCTGCGGTCACCGTTGCACGACGTCGGTTCTTCAATCGGATCATCACCAACTGCGTCCTACAGCTGCTCATGATCGAGACGGTCCACGAGTTATTCTCCAATGACAAGGTCTACTCTCAGATCCCCAGTAACGAGCTTCTCCGGCTCATGGGCCTACTGAAGAAGAGTTACCAATTCGCCAAGAAGTTCAATGAGGACAAGGAATTGCGGATGCAGCTTTGGCGTCAGGGATTCATGAAACAGCCTCCGAACTTGCTCAAGCAAGAAAGCGGTAGTGCCGCCACCTACGTTCACATCCTGTTCCGCATGTACCATGATGAGAGAGACGAGAGGAAGAGCAGCCGTGCGGAGACCGAAGCCGCTCTCATCCCGTAAGTTGCCCCCCCCCCCCCCCCCACCCCGCCAGAGACATTTTTTTCATATGAAATCAAACGCGCGAGACTAATGTCAAATCATATTCAGACTATGCGCGGATATCATTCGTAGCTTCGTCCTTCTAGACGAAGATTCGCAGCATCGGAACGTCCTCGCCTGGCGCCCTGTCGTGGTGGATGTCATCGAAAGCTACACCAACTTCGCCTCGGAAGGGTTCCACAAACACATCGAGACCTTCTACCCCTTGGCCGTCGACCTGCTCGGCCGCGACATGAACCCGGAGGTTCGTCTCGCCGTGCAATCCCTCTTCCGCCGTGTCGGCGAGGTCAAGCTGGGTCTGCCACCCCGCCCGCAATCGCCGTCAAGCCATCGAAACTCCGTCGCCAGCCAGCTGTCCCGTAAGCACAGCAGCGGACGCTGAGCTCATGCATGCACTGCCAGGAGCTGGCTGACCCCCTTTCACCGATAACTGGACCATCCGTCTCGATCCTGCTCTGCGTGTCTGGGCTATCTTTCCCTCCTCCTCTTTCTTCCTCTTGTTCTTCTTCTCTTCTTGGATATCCTCGCCTTCATGAATGGGAAGGTCTCGCTTTTGTTCTGGAAGGTTCGTCTGGTGTATTAGACTTAAGTTCTCCATCATAGCCTTCGTCCTTGTTCATTTAAACCCCGGTCGTCTCGCGCTCCTCGTTTTCTCTCGAACCTTTATTATTATTATCCTTCATATTTTGTGCAAGCGGGCTCTCTATATATGTATGTACAAAATACCATCTTCATGGAAGCGTTGCAGGGGGTTATTTTCAGTCCTGTTGCCCGTCGCCCACTCTCGCAGCGAGACTGGTCTTTCAAGCGTAGCTCTCAGTTGAGGTCCGGAGTGGGGATTTGTATGAACCATAGTAAGCCCATTTCACTTCAGCTTGGTAGAAATCCTCGCGAGTATGCCTCCTGTCGCGCAATCGCAGAACCGGCCGACTTCGGCTACTGACTGTCTTGTAATACTCACCGAATCCCAACCAACCCAAGCCCAGCATATCATACAACCATAACCACGTAGCGCCGATCCCCGTAGAATATATATGTGCCGTTCTCAATTCCCCGGAGCCTTGGCCCGAATCTCCTTCAACGGGGGAATCTCCCCGGAGGCATAGAAAGCCAGCAGCGCGTCCATATCGCGCTCGTCCATCTCGACGAGATCCTCCAAGCTCCACGACTCACAAACCCCCGACATCCTGGCCCCGAACACAACATGTCAGCCCCAGCTTCACAAGAACCGACAAGAGTCCTTTCATCGTTACATCCCACCTTCCAAATCAAAAAGCCAAAAAAAAAAAAAAAAAAAAAAAAAAAACAAACACATACCACTTCATGCGCTTCGGCCCCTCCTCGACGAGAGGCGCCGTCTCGCGCAGCTTCCGGCGCAGCAGGCCGACGTTCTCGATGGCGGCGCCCATGTTGGCCGGCAGGGCGGCGGCGATCTTCTTGCGGACGAGGCTGGCCAGCCGGGGCCCGTTGCCGTTGGTGCTGACCATGACCTGGAGGGGCCCGTCGCGGTGCATGCTGCCGAAGTAGAAGTCGCACTCCGGGGGCACGTCGGCGATGTTGGCGGGGATGCGCTTCGCCTGGCAGAGCTGCCAGACGCGCGTCGAGGCCGCCGGGTCGTCGATGGCGCACAGCACCATGTCGGCCGTGTCGAGGTCTTGGGGCGCGAAGGCCCGGTCGACGTGCCTCACCTGGCACTGGGCCACCCGGTGGGCGACCTCGGCGTTCAGGCCGGCCGCCGGGCACACGACCGTCACGTGGGCGTCGGCGTTGAGAGCGTGCAGGATGCGACCGGCTGCGACCTTTTTATTTTTTTCATAAAGGTGGTTAGTTTAGGTGTGGCTGTTGGAAGGGGGGGAAAGGGGACGGAGGAGGTTGTGTATGCTGAGGCGGGGAGTATATATAATTGCATGGGCGATAAGAGAAGGAAGGGGGGGGGGGGGGGGGTTGCTTTACCTCTCCCCCACCGACTACTAGGATATGTTTATTCTTTGCTTGCCAGGCAATGATCAAGGAGCCTCCTCCCTGAACCTCGGGGAATTCTTGCGACATTGCGATTCTTGTGGATGTAAGACACAAGTGGTTGGTGATGGTGGTGGTGGTGGTTGTGTCATAGGCAAGTTTTCCTATCGGAGGGAAGCGCGGGGAGAGAATCGGCCATCGCCTATCGATTATGACTGAGTATCAAAAGACCAACAAAACAACCCCGTGACCTTCCTTCCGCCTGCCATTTTCTGCCCACTTCCCAAAAACCCCCAAAATCCCAAAAATCCCAGAAAACCAAAATTTACCCACCCGCGCGGGCCATTATTTTCTCCATTCTTTTTCTCCCTCTTTTTCTTTTCTTCTTCTCTTTCTTTCTTTCCTTCCCCTTCCCCCCCTCTCCCCTCAAAACACATCCTCCCCCCCAAATCCCCCACTCTTTGCTTTCTGGGCCGGTAATCTTGAAATGATTCCACCGCCCACGTCGGCTATTCATTCCTATTATTACCGGTCCATGCCTTCTCAGTCATAAGTCAAGTATCCAAGATGCGGGGAGTACAAATCTTTTCGGGAACATCCCACCCTTCCCTGGCGGAGACCATCTGTGAGCGACTAGGCACCCAGCCGGCTCGAGCCAACCTTGGGAAATTCAGCAATGGCGAGACCAGAGTAGATATCGGCGTCTCCGTGCGGAATCAAGATGTCTACATCGTGCAGAGCGGCAGTGGAAAGATCAACGACAGTGTGATGGAGCTGTTGATTATGATCTCTGCCTGCAAGGGTGGTTCCGCCAAATCTATCACAGGTACGTTGGGTTCTTGTCACTCTCTCTCTCTCTCTCTATGTGTACAACGGCTGACTTGTCTGTTTCCATCCTGCAGCGGTCATGCCGTATGGTCCTGTTTAAGCTCATTCCTGCGCATCTGATACTGACTCAAACGAGGTACTTCCCGTACTCTCGCCAATCCAAGAAGAAGAGCCACCGTGGCGCCATCACTGCCCGCATGTTGGCTAACCTCCTCTCGGTTGCCGGAGTGGACCATGTGATCACCCTGGATCTACATGTGAGTCTCTAATGGCTGTGTCCCACCGTGGGGGACCATCTACCATACCGCCTTCGACTGGAGTTCTTACCAAGGCATGATGAATCTAGGCATCGCAAATGCAGGGTTTCTTCGGCAAGCCCGTGGACAACCTGTTCGCCGAACCCTTCATCGCTCGATGGATTCGCATGAACGTCCCTAGCTGGAAAGAAGCGGTGGTCGTGAGCAAGAATGCCGGTGGCACCAAGCGTGTCACCTCGCTTGCCGATACCCTGAAGCTCAACTTCGGTATCGTCACGACCGATAGACGGCGTCCCAAGGTCCCCATGTCGATGACGGACAGCACCGTCTTCTTTGACTCGATTGAGGAAGAGAGCACGACCTCGTCGAAAGACCAAGATCCCTTCGCACTGCACATCCACAGCGCAGCCAGTGACAATGGCCAGGGTGAAGACTCGCGAGAGGAGTCCACCACCAACATGGAATCGCTCGTCGCGGCCAATCTGCTGCGCCCAGAGACCCCGACCGGCGCGCGTCGGCCGTCGGAGTTGGAAGCGGCACACGAGTACACCGATGTTCGTGTCCAGGACGTCATCACCGGCCGACTGGTTCAGGGCCACCTGGTGGATGATGACTATCCTTCTACCGGTCCCACTTCTGTACCTGCTTCGGGCGAAACAACCCCGGGTCAGAACGCGAGCGGCGAACCCTCGGAGGCGGTTCCCGAGTCGATGATCAACTCTCTCATCTCGACCACCCCTTCCCTTCCCGGCGATCACGCGCTAGGCGGCTCATTCGATGCTGCCGAGTCCTCCGACGAGGAGGGTAGTGTCGGCCGTCACGCTGAGCAAGAGAAGACCATTACCCTTGTCGGTGACGTGCGCAACCGGACCGTCTTCATCGTCGATGACATGATCGACAAGAGCGGATCCTGGGTCGCTGCTGCTGAGACAGTCGTGAAGAAGGGTGGTGCGAAGAAGGTCTACTGCATTGCAACCCACGGTCTCTTTGGGGATGAATCCCTGGAGCAGATGGAGGCATGCAAGGCCATTGACCACATCGTCGTTACGAATACATTCCCCATCGCTCCTCAAGTTGCCAAGAAGTCGAAGAAGTTGATTGTCATCGACATCTCAAGCCTCTTGGCCGAGAGCATCAGACGCCATCACTATGGCGAAAGGTTAGTTCCTCCCGTTCCTCCAGCCTAAATTTAAAGTGCTAACGGCTGCCATAGCGTTTCGGCTTTGTTTCACCTAAACGATTAGACCTTTCGACTATTGAGTCCTATCCTCAATGGATCCTCTTTGAACACAATCCCACAATTCCCTACATTTCCAAACCTCCATGTCCAGAGCGTAAGCGAGCTGGGTTCTGGGTAAGATGATGACTAAAGACAGTGATGACGAGTGCCTTGATGATTTTCTCAGCGAATGGCTCTTTTTTTTCTCATCTTGCCGTGTTGATGCACGCAAGTCCATTTTGGTGGTGATACACGGCAGGTTAACCTCTACTATTATCAGCACCTGAGTACTGAATGATACCATTGACCATTTGCGCATCCCATTTCCTGCTTGGGCGAAATCGCAGCTGCAGGGGTGGGGGTCGGTGACATGATCACTCCCACAAAGCACGGGAAGATGCGCCGTGAGTCCCAATTTTGCAGACAGTTGCATTGTTTCCCTGTCAATTCGGTCCAAGTGCATGTTGTTTCCCCCGTTGGTGCGTTTCATAACCACCATTTCTCTTTCGTAGGACGGTTGGCATGTCGATCCATTCGACCACCACAACCTGTCAATCCAAAACCAGCGATGCAGTCCACTCTGGGTACTGCAGGGGCGGCCTGTTGGAAAGGAGAGTCATTCTCTGGACCTGAGTTCACAGGATCGTTCTTAACGGAGCGTTGGGAGAGCAAATTACCGGTCCTGCGCGGTCTTCTATGACCCTTCCGAGCCTTTTGGCTCGGTGGCAAGTAGTCGTACTGCGCTGGACCGGTCGAGGAGTGAAGGCACCACTTTCTTTGGGGGCATCTGCCCCCATGACTTTTCAGTCGGTGGAAATGGCGCAAGAGAACATCTCGGACACTATCTTCATGTCACAGTAGCCTGTAAACGATTTCCAATTTAGCTGAATATGACCAATTTCAAACCCATCTTGTTCCAGAGTGTCCTAATCCGATTGGAGCTCCTGTTTCTGTCATCATGTGCATGTAATCGTATGTCAGATGAGCATTTGCGATCGATGACAGACTAGACTTGACTTCGAGCGACTACGAAGTAGGTTCAGAGACGTCCGATTCTCGTCCGATTCTCCTTTGGCGCGCTCGGTGAGCGATGCAGTTTTCCTTTTTGCCAGGGTCAAAGTCGAAATCTTCCGACCCGTGTTGCTATCCTAAGACGACTCGCAAGTCACGGAAGGCAGTGCAGGATTAGCGGCGTGCAGCTTGCCAGCCGGCATAGAAGGAATCAGCTTCCGATTCAGTTGACAATTGCAAAGGAGAGGATGGCGGTGTGCATGAGCCCGCGGGCTGATTGCAAGATTGGTCCGTTTGCTATGCGAAGCTGGACGAGGTCGAACAGAAGCAGCCCCTTTCATTTCTCCCGAATCAACCTTTTCATATGCACGCTACTAGTTGACCAAGCAAGATGCATGCTCGAATCGGATGGTGAACAACGGATTGGGGCAGAATTGCTTTCCGCCTAAAAACGAGTACTCTACGCATAGACGTGAGATTGCGACTGATCCGGAGAAGGATGGAGGGGTTTGATGCTCAAATCTGGCCAAGTCCTACTGTACATGCATCACAATGGCCATGGCAAAAGAATGCCCTTGTTCTAGGCCCGGTCGAGCGGCTCGTCCGACAGCTCGTTTAAGGAGCGCCACTTGCCAAATTGCACCTTCGGCATAAGCTGAACAAATGGGTGAGAAGTGAAGCGTGTGGGGATCGTAAAGCAATTGGGGGCGGTTTCTCCGGTGTGGTTCTGAGCATGGGACAGAACAAAAAGACGTATCGAGCAGACAAAAGTACCTTGCGTCACCGAAACCCAGGGAAGGCGCCCTATCCCAGGACTATGAGAGGCGGAGCCAATTAGGGACCAGACTAGCAAGGCCCGAAGCACGACGGCGCAGAATTTATGCCCGGAACATTCCCGGTAGATCAGGGAAGCATGCGGCTAGCATGACCAGTGGTGATTTGTGGTTCCTGAAATCAAGGAATCGGCCTCGGATGCTTGCAAGCGGTTTACGTACCTCAACCAAAGTCGTTGGGCATATGGGACCTCAACTTGAGAAGGATGTTATAGGTATTGTCTCAATGTTCCTAGGGCTTTGAAGGCAATCCGACAAGGTACAACCCTGAAGCGTCTCATAGATCTCATTTGGTGGATGCCTAGTCCAGCCACAAGTGGTCTTCAAGAGCGGCTGAAGTACGGAGTAGTGTTGCTTCCTGTATTCCCGCCATGCTGACAGAAATCGACCCGCCTGTCAAGCGATATCCACCGCACTTGATCCAAGCGCTGGGTCAAGTTCAGCCTCTCGTGTTCTCATTTTAGGCCTGAGAACTAGGGGAACGCTCGGAGCACTAGAAGTACCGCGTGTCGGGTCCCGGACTGCATGTGCAGTTCGTTCTAAAGATTATTCTCATCGATGACACAATGCCATCAACAAGAGAAGTGGCATCTCGATTCGAGGCTAGAGGGGATGTTTGGTGGTCGTTTCGCTACTTCCAATATTGTGGGCGAGACAACCAACTCGGTCCTTGGAGCTCATTTACGGGAAGATCGACATAATCAAACGAGCGGTAGGTGAGCGGCTTACAGCTCGCATGACTACAGCCACTCATAGTGTTGAGAACCCACGAAAGACGGCAGTTTGGTGAGCAAGCGAACCAGTCAAAAGTAAGTACTGCCCAGCAGGTCGTTCGCTGTTCCAGACACGGAGGAATCTCAACTTTGAACTTTGTGAGCTAGACACTGTTGACTTTGGATAATATTACGAAGTACGGACGACTTTTGTTCTCCAGGGCCCCCGAACTTACCGGCAAGCCACTTGGGCATAATCCTGGTTCGCAGGTGCGGGTCGCCTGCAGACGCACGGCGCAATCGGCTTCGATCGGCAAAAATAGACAGGAACAAGCATGATTGAATCGAGGTGTGACGCTCACAGGGGTCGTGCCTGCTTGCTCAAACGTCAGCGACGCCCCCAACATTGCCTCTGCAAAGGCGGGCTGGGAACAGCTGCAGGGATGGACCCGAAACCATGGATGTATGAACGTTAATCCCAGTGCTCTCCTTGGCCCATCTGGTGGAGAGAGGCAGCGCTGACAGCTTAGAGTGGGGAGATCTCAGAGGGTAAAAGTGTGCTGTTTGTTGCGCTGCGATTGTTTGTCCTAGCTTGTCGGGAAGCCCCTGCCTGGCTCTGCGAAGTGCATCGGTAGCACCGGCAGACCGACATCCTCCTCCTGTGGTGAACCGTATGGCCGAAGTTTAACAGTGATGAGATGGAAATGAGTTCAAGCTCAAAGCAACTAGCTCTGAGCGATTGCTAGTTTTAGAAGGATGGATGGAGGGATGGATACATCCAGAGCAAACAATTGGAGTGAGTGGCACGGCAGTTGTTGAGATGGGTCTGGATCGGGATGCACAAGTAACTACCGATGGAGGTTCTAGAAAATTGGGTTCAATGCATGACGTTCGGCCGAGGTCATGGAAAGCCTTGTAGGGGAGCATAAATAGAAGCAGCAGCAATGATCGATGGGGAAACAAGAACGAGCGATGGGGTGAAAGGATTGGCCAGAAAGGCTGGATCTGGAAGATCGAGATTCCAGGAACCAGGATGTGCAGAGGGCGGAAGGATCAATTCGTGATGAGATATGATGCATAGATAGGTAGATGAATGGATGGATGGATGGATAGAGAGAGAGAAAGAAGTGGAGGTGGAGAAGGGGGAGAGAGAGGGGGGAGTGGAGAAGAGAGAGAGAGGAAGTACGGGTACGGGAGAGACGGTAAGAAGGAATGAAAGGAAGGCGGCCGGGGCTAGACAAGGAAGCAGCAGAAGCAGCAGCAGATCGGATCGGATCTACACTCCCTTTCCTGTCTTCAACTCTCCTTCCAGCCCCTTTGGGGTTATTTTCTTTGACTGGTCCTGGCTATGATGGAATTATTATTAAGGGGAAGTCTGTCATGATCCAGACTCAAAGCTTAAAATGAGGAACCAAGAAAGATGTCAGTAGGAGCAGTAGGAGCAGGAGGAGCAGGAGGAGCAGGAGGAGTGGGTTGGATCCACCGGGAAAAATGATCTGTAGAAGACTAGAAGCACCACCACCACTCGCTCACCCAGTCGGATCTATTCATTGACTGGGACTAAAGGCAAGTAGACCGATTAGACAGTTTACCAGACTTACTTACCACTTACCCAGTAGACAGATATCAGTGACCAGGCCCTGGGTCCCAGTAACTGCAACTCAATTCGGGTTGCTCAATTGCATTTATTGGATTTTATGGATATTTAGATATTTAGATATCTAGATCGTACTTTCTTTTCTTTTTCTTTTCTTTTCTTTATTTTTTATTTTTATTTTTATTTTATTTTTTGGTAAAATCCTTTCTGCAAGAATAATCCTAACCTCCATATGGTTCCTCCACATCCTTCCTTCTTTCCTTCTTCTCGATCTTGAGATCTCACATACATCTATCTCTCACTCATCTTTGTCCACACCCGAATTCCTTCTGTTTCGATCGCATCCCTTCTCCGTCCTCGTCTCCCCCTGCTATTTGTCTGATTGTATTCATCAGTCGGTGGTAGCTGTGGGCGACTCCACTTTCAATTAATGATCCGTCGAGAGTAGTCCGGGTACGTGCATCGTGCTTGCTTCCCTGCCGACGGCGAGTGCGGATTCCTATGCAGCTGGTAGGCTTCTCGCCTGATTGAGTGCTTCTGGACCGCTGTCTTCCATACGAGTGACTGTAGTTGAGATCGCTGTTTGAGACACCGTCATTCCAAAGCAATGCAACCAGCCCATCGCTGAGAGAGAGCGCACGCGAGAGAGAGAGACTTCCGAATCCTATATATACTATGGCTTCGCTGCCCTTCCATTCTTCCATTCTGCAGAACCACGATCAAGATTTACTCCTTCTTCGCTCCTCCTCATCCTCTCTGAATCATCGCATAACTAAGTTATTGTCCCCTCTTACTCAGAACGAATCACCCTTACCTTCTCTTCACTCTCCGTTCCCAACTCAATTCAATCGTCTTTAAGGAATCCAGACCCTTGCGCAAGAACGAGCTACCACATAACCCAGCCCTACGACATTGAGAGATATCAATTGCTCCTACACGCAAGATCCGGCGTCGAAAGTCACCGATAACCCTTACCCCAAGCCTCTTATTCTGTTGATCAAACCTTTGGTAAGGCCATGAGATCTCCTGATCCGCATCTTGTGTCTCGGGCATGAGGGAGCGGCAGCCCCGAATCGATGAACTGACGGGCCTTGACCAGACACCAAAAGCACAATGGCCAACCAATGCTCCGGTCATCGTTTCGCCATTGTACAGGCAACGAACGGCAACATCCTTACCTGGCGGTGTTCCGACTGCAACTCCGGCCCCTTTGTTGCCATCTGGCAATGCAAGATCTGTCTCCATTTTCGCTGCAACGCATGCCACACCGCCAAAGCATAGTTCTTCCCTTGCTTTGGGGATCGGTAAGTGCCACTGGCCGGATACAACACCCATCCGTTCACAGTCACATACTGTGCGCCTGTTGTGGAACAAAAAGGACTAACGTTGGGACTCCTCAGTGCTCGCCCTGGAAGGGTTCTCGAAACCTGACGACACCGCCGCAGCTTGCTTCCCATGCATGGCTTGCATTGGGATCGGCAGAGCACCCCATGCAGATCTGTCCTCAGACGGATAATCTGTTCCCAATCTCTTGTCTTACTTTTCCTTAATAGGTCCACTTTATCCTCTTTTGTTCTCTTATTCTACCTGTCACCTGTACCACCCAGATGCAGGTGGCATTCTTTACTCCAGACGTCACTTTTGGACGAACGAACTCGTCCGGATATCTTATCCATCTGCCCACCCACCGCGATCCGAAGCTCGATGCATTTTTCTCAGTTCGATTCAGCCCAAGGGGGAATTGAGAGATCTGACGTCCTCTGACCTACTCCAAGCGGGAGAAATAGCACATTCCAGCTCATCTGCGGGGGCATTGCAACTGACTCGCTGTCTTGACGGCTGGACCCAACAGATACAGTCTTGTGCAGCTCGTCTCTGTCCCTTGATCGAACTGCTTCGCGCGTCCTTCGCGGACTTTGTCTCGCGTTTGCAAAACGCTCATCTGCTGTCATTTTTTGATCTGTTCTTGCCAAGCCTACGCGTGTTTTGTTCACAGTGCTATTCTTTTTAGAATTGCATCGCTCCGGCGTTCAGGGTTCAAGGAACCAGGGAAAAAAAACATTCGGGAGGAGTCATTGCTTGATGGTATTTTGGTTCGGCTGTTTCATTTCTGTTTCCTGTGTATTCAAATACGGATGTTTTGTTTGTCCCTTCGGCGTCCTGGCGATCCTCTGCTCTACCTTTAGATAGAAAATACTCATAGACTATTCCTCGGGGAAAATACAATACAACCTGCGACGACGCAAACCCAACTCATCTTTCTTTCTTCCCCGCCCCGTCAATACATCCACGGTCTCTCCCCGCGGCTCCCCCATTATCCAAACCCGCTCTCCGACATCCGACACCATGCACGTCCCCAGCTTGCGCTTACCGTCAGGCAGACAGAAGATAACCCCCATCAAGAAAAGAAGTCGATGCACGCTAGACCCGTGACGTGACGTGACGTGACGTGACGTGACGTGACATGGTAATGCCGCAGCGTCAGCGGCGTGCCAGCAGCCTTGTTGCTGGGGTTAGCTGGACTGATGGGTGCATAAGCCGAAGCCGTCCCTTGCTTGGGTTAACAACCCGAAATCCTCTCTCTTGTACAGTACAGTAAGTAAGGACCCCGCCGGGATTGAATGAATATGTAGGGTTTCACATGTGCGAGTGAGTATCCCCGGTATCGGATGTTGAGAGGGACTCGTGAGGCTCAGTGCTGGGGTTAGTTGTAGGACCGAAGAAGACGTGGTCGAGGAAGCAGAAGAAGAGAGACGGAACAGGTGAGGATGGCATGCGGGCTCATAGTAGTGCCTTACTCTGTACCCCGCCGGAATACATCCCTACCGTATTGAGCGTGCAGATGAGGACATGGCCGCGGTGACAGACAATAGCTGCCTGGCGTGAGCTGATTATCTATTATGCTTAATCGGCGGAGTGAAACATTGTGTTTGGAGGCTCTTTGTCTTGCGCAGCGAGCGAATTGGAGAGTGCAGGTCGGGCAAGAAGTAAGGGAACTGGTACTGTACAGTTCCAGTTTGGCCTATGGACTGTGTAGTAGGTAGGAATGTATGCAAACGTTTTGGGATACGCCGGCATATTCTGGTAATTCTGCCGATTGGACTACGGGCTCGTCATTTTTATACCTGCTTCGGGCTATTCGGTTATATGGAGACTGTGAATAATGCATAATACTATTACAATATCCTGGTCATCCTAGACTACAAAAGACCACTAGGGAATATGCATTGTAGATGTGAAGCAGATGATTAAGAGATTAGATGCGTGCCAGAGGCACGTAGATTTCACGAAAGCACCGTCAATCAGGTGTAAATACTCTGTTCACCTTTCGTCAGTATACAGCCCAGATTGGGTTTCACCAAAGGGAGGGAGCTTACCTCGGTGATTTGGTTCACCTGCAAACCAGGTTCGGCCATATTAGCATCCTTCAAAAAGTCCAACGGCATCCAAACCAGATGTCCCTTGATCTTGTCGAGCCTCTCACGAGTGTCCTGAATAGGTTGGTAAGGATCAGACAAATGACCTTGCTTGATGCCCTTAGGAATGAAGTGATCGTAATCCTCAAAGGTGAGGATCTTGTCATCGGGATCCGCGCGGAAGAGCATCCGGTACATGTCGGTGTTGACGGTGGCCTGGTTGGTCCACAACTCCCACAGTGCGTCGTTCATGGGATCCGTGACGAAGTCATTCTCCGGCCCCTCGAGAATCTGATTCATGCACGCGTACGGAGGCTGGGCGTTGGGATGTTGCGATGCATCGTATTCCTGGCAGGGAAGCAGGCCGAGGTGTTCGCGCCACAGTTGCCGACGCAGGGTTGCCGCAAGCCGGGCGGCCTTGTATGGCTGACCATCCATGGTACTATCGATGAAGTCTTGGTCTTCTACAACGATGGCTAACTCGCTGTCGTGGTAGCCACATTGAGACTGCGCGAGATGGATTAGTTGGTATGCTCGCAGGGGCTAATGTAGGTAGCTGCAAGGGGAGAATGGAAAAGGGCCTACCCGATCATTGATGTTGGCGCTTCCACAAATGGCGATTCTGTCATCGACAATGCACACCTTGCCGTGCACATAAAGTTCCTCTTGAACAATGTTGTCTATCTCCGCGTCGGGCTCGCCGTCCCAGGGCTCGTCGGACATTCTACCGCCGTTGAGCATTGTGGTGTGGGCCACGGTGTCACAGCCCTTCAAGCCCTCTTGCTCCCTATGGCGTTCGACTTGCTCTTCGTACTTGCGCAACTGGTCAATTCGTGCCTCCTTCTCCTGTTGCGCGTTATCATATCCAACTTCATGCTTGTCTCCTTCATTGTCAATGGCAGGGTGGACACTGTCGCTCATAATGGACTCTGCAATTCCACGTTGGATGTCATTGTACGTGACGCCGGCCTCCTTCTCCAAACTTTCGAGAGCAGGAGTCTTGTTGATACGGTCATAGGCCCGTAGATTGAACAAGAAGACGTGTTCTGCTCATGTTAGACATGATTACCCGCATCAAGCGTGGTTCGACTTACGTCTCGGGTCTACACCCTGGGCAGAGATCTGCCCGAAAATGGAGTGCTCGCCGCGATGAATAGACTTGTATTGGTAGTCCATGATCGCGCGTGTGCCGGTCGCGGCGTTCTGTCTGAGGTCGCCTGCAAACCCGGGAATGGCGGGGATGACGATGATCACGCGAAACTTCCTTCCTTCCTTGCCCGCTCGCACGACTGCATCGACGATCGACCGCCCGATTGTGTTCAGAATGGGTTTCTGCTGGTCTCCAGTAGCAGTGACTAAAAGCTGTTAGGATATGCAAGATTGAACAAGATCAAGCGATGTTATCTCACTAAAGAACTGGTTCTCGATGTAGACGAAATGCTGGGCCTGGCTGATAATCTCCTTGTAGGCGTTCTGAATACTGTGCTCGGTCAGGATGCCACTACTCCAATCAGCGCTGCTGCGCACGATCTGTGCTCGCGCAAATCCCTGCTTGCCAAGGGGCTTCGTATCGAGAGGCTTCAGGGGGTGTTGCACGTAGTCGCCGCAAGGGTATTTCGGGCGTTGTACTCCCACCAGATCCTCGTCCTCCCCGGTACGACCCTCAAGCATAAGCCAATCAACGCCATGGTCCCGTTTATACTTGTCCCGCTTGATGAAGTTCCAGCGAAGAACAAAGTGCTCTGCGATGTCGTACACACAGTCACCCATCACACCCATGGCAACGTCATGCCAAGGCATCCGACCGTACTCCGCTTTGCTGAGCTCGTTCTGCTGCCAGTCTTGCACACTCTGGAAATCCATGATCCGATTATTGTTGAATTCCTGTCCGGGGAAGACTTCGTCTTTCAGATTGGAAGGGTGAACATCTGCCAGAGGGTGCTGATGGGCATCCCATCTTCCGAAGCACAGATCGATACCTCCAATGAACGCCAACGCATAATCAATGACAAGAAACTTCTCATGATGTGCCTGGCAGATTGATGGTCAATTAAAGCGTGGGCGCATGTGCGGGTGCAGACCTACCCAGTACAGAGTCATGTCTGCAGCATTCTCAAAGATGTTATGATCCGGATGTCTGAGGACTTTAATGTTGCCGTAGCCGGGCGAGCCCTCCGGACATAGTGCGCGCAAGGCATGCTTCGTATGAGCCGAGTTACAGGTCAATGCTTGATTCACCTATTTACTTCGTGTCAGCGATTGTGCAACTGTGCAACCGAGGCGGCAACCGGACCTCCTTATACACAATGACGTAGATCTTCACCCCGGCCTCTGCGCGGCGTTTGAGGACCTGATCCAATCGCCATTCCTGATGCGCATACGCAGGCCGACGGAGGAAGAGTTCTGGAGAGAGCCACCAGTCGGCGATGTAGATGACCTCCTGAGCCTCTTCCAGAGCAATGGAGACGGCCCACATATAGTCGAGCGCATCTACATACCACTTGACCCGGTTGCCTTCACGGATGGGGGCGAAGGATTGGAACCGGTTGGACTCGGAAATGGCGGCTCTCTTGCGGTCTGTCTCCTGTTCGTGCGCTTCATCATGGCGATGATTGGGGTTAATGATGTTGAAAAATTTGCCGACTTTGTGCTTGAAATGAGAGGCCTTTGCCTCGAAACTCTCAATGTGAGTGTCTGTTTTTCCCCACGGCTAATTAGTTGAATCCACCGAGGGAGAGAGAAGGATAACCTTTGAGATGATCCTCCAAGTGATCGATTTTAGACCTCAGCTTCTCCATCGTGATCCAGCGCGATAGAGTTATAGTAGATTTTAAGTGATGAGGAGGGGCAGGGAAAATCTGCAGCCAGGTCTGTCAACTGCAGCTGGTGAAAGGAAAAAGAATGGGGAAAAGGAAGAGGGGAGAGGAGGGGGGAATGGGGATCCACCGACGATCGGAAATCAATCAGAAGATAACGACTGTGCACTGTGTAAAAAGGTTTCTGCCTGGGAAACAGTTCCAGATCCGCCAAGGCGATCGGCATAAGGGCAGGGGCCAGTGGGAGAGATTCGCGTGAGGTAATAATATCAGAATCTAATATGGAGACGCGGAAATGCAATCAGAAGCCAGCCCTGAGTCCAGGGCGCAACAAACCGTGTGTGGGGTGATGTCATCGCCCTCCGCCTTATCCAGCCTTGTTGCGGCCTCAGGCTGAATAGTGGTGGTTGGCCTAGAAAGGCAGGCATAGAACTAATCATATCATCTCCCTTTGTGGCTATGGCACAAACCTACAGAGTACTTTTCTCGGATTCTCTGAGCTAACCACCTACCTCATACTCAGAAATGGATCAAGTGAACTTAGTGGTACATGATTGAAATACCCATACCTGGTTCACACTAGACTGTCGCCCTAAAGCATCCCTCCTGCATGTTCCTGTCGCGTGTCAGTGGATTTGCCTCGGGTAGACTCCACCCTCATCCACGGTGTGCTTCCATGGGAGCCCTGCTGCACATTTCATCATCACCATCATCATCGCCGTTACTTTCTTTCTTTGAATGTCTTACCCATGACCCCTCCTTCATTGGCAGTGACACACCATGAGCGCATCACGCAATATCTACAAGGATGATATCGACTTCACCGCCCTTGCCCTGCAGTCCCCGGATTTCGCAAAGTAGTACGTGCCCCCCATGTAAGCCACTTGATTCGTCATGACATGGCCGGCCAAGAAAAAGCTCAAAAGTCCCAATTTAGTCTGAAATCCAACGGACAGTTGGACTTTACCGACCCCGATGCCGTGAGGTGGGCCCACATTGCTACCAAAGACACCCTAAACACTCTCAGTCCGCCAGCTAATGGACACAGGCAATTGACCAAAAGTCTGTTACGGCGAGATTTTGACCTGAAGGTGGACATCCCTGACAAGAGACTTTGCCCGCCGGTATGCATTTCCCGACCAACCCCAAACCACCAATGACTGTGAACGGTTCACTAATTATGCAGTACAGGTTCCGAACAGGTATAGAAGAGAAACGCGCGATCATTAACAGGCTGCTGCACATGGGATTTAACCGTTTCATAGGCTGAACTATATCCTCTGGCTGCAAGACCTCCTCGATACCACGGGAGATAAGTACCAGGACAGCTACGACGCCGATCGAAAAGTCGTCGGGCTTGACATGTACGTCGCACATATTCAATCCCACAGATCAAGCATTGATCGTGAAACCACAGCGGGACAGGATGTTGCAGTATCTACCCTTTGTTAGGCTGCTCCATGCGGCCTGGCTGGAGCTTTTTTGCTACTGGTAGGTACTTCTGCGGAGCCACAAGCACATCCCAAATTCACTTACACTACGTAGATATTGACGAAGGCAATATCGAATCGTCGCGAGCAAACGTGTCCGCCAATGGGCTTGACTCGCGAATCACGGTTGTTAGAACAACTTCAGAGGAGAGACTCATCCCATCGGACACGAAACTCAAAGTTGACAGGTTTGTTCAACAGCCCCTCTTGCGCATCTGCTCTGCCTCACACCACGAAGACTAGACTTCACCATGTGCAATCCTCCCTTCTACGCCTCTCGGGATGAGATGGTAGCATCTGCCGAAGCCAAGGACAGGCCACCCTTCTCGGTATGAGCATCGACCTCCGCAATTCAGATCATTCATTTACTTACACAAACCCCCCAGGCATGCACAGGTGCAGAAGTCGAGATGGTGACAGCAGGCGGAGAAATCGCTTTCATCTCCCGGATGATCGAAGAAAGTCTGCAGCTGCGCGACAAGGTGCTCTGGTACACGTCGATGTGCGGAAAACTGAGCAGCATCTCCGTCCTCATCGAGAAGTTAGTTGGGCATGGCAACAACAACTACGCCGTGACCGAGTTCGTCCAGGGCAACAAGACCAAACGATGGGCCCTCGCCTGGTCATGGACTGATCTCCGTCCGACAGCGGTATGTGCCCGTATCTGTGCATTGAGGAAATCTATCACTAACCCTAACGGATACACCAGGCCGTAGCCCGAGGCATCCCTACAACCCCAAAACACCTCCTTCCATTTCCATCCGAATATACCTTCACCGCCACGACCGACTCGATCGATGAGGTGGCCACGACCGTTGACGAAGAGCTCGGAGCACTACCCCTCCAGTGGCTCTGGCGTAAGAGCCTTGCCTCAGGCGTGGGCTTCGCGATGCAGAACGTCTGGTCCCGTCAGGCCCGTCGCAAGTTGCGCAATCCCGACGCGATGGCCGACCAGCCCCCGGTCGAGGAAAGTAAAGCCGCTCTCGGTTTCAGGGTGCAGCTGAAGAAAGGGGTTAGCGACGACCAAGGGGTGAAGGTGATCATCCGGTGGATCAAGGGAACAGACACTGTTCTCTTCGAGAGTTTCTGCGGCATGCTAAAGCGTAAGATCGACAGCAAGCAATAACCTGAACCCCAATACCTTAATGTCCAGATTCAAAATCAGATGAATAGAATCAGTATTGACATTCGTCTGGTAAAGAAAAACACACAGTGTCTGCTTAAATTTTTCAGATTCGGAACATGAATAATCGTGACTTAACAGAAACCTGGTCCGACAACGGTAACCAGCGTGATAAATGCTTCACACACAAACCCACACACACAAACTCTTTCTCTACATATGCATTTGAATCACACAAGATCTAGGATCTAAGCACTGCCCACCTCAGACTGCAAGGCCTTCAGACGCTCCCAGCCCTCGGAATCCTCCCAGAACTCCTTGCCCTTGCCCAGGATACCGCGCACGGCACTGCGGGCCTTGAACCGCCAATCCTTGGCCACCAACTCGGGCTCGCCCTCGGCAGCCCCCTCCTGACCTTCCTTGTCCATGGGACCGTAGCGGGCGTAGCCATCACGGACCAACCGTTCGGTGGCGCGCACGACGTCCAGCCACTTCTTCTCGTCGCCCATCTGGAACGCGCCCTGGGTGGAGGAGGCGACGGTGGCGCGCCAGGCCTTCTCATGGGCCTCGAAGGCCTTGGAGGGCCGGTCGCGCCAGGCCTCGACGCCGGCGACGAGCAGCCACAGGGGCGCGGAGTGGGTGATGAGCGGGACGACGGCGTGGTCGACGAGCGAGAGGATCTGGCCGGGGACGGTGCCGGAGCGCACGATGGGCTCGGCGGCGGGGTCGCTGTCGTCGATGCGGATCAGCAGGTCCTGGTACTCGTAGGCGCGGACCAGGTGGTCGACCAGCATGCCGAGGATGGGCATGTCGATGCACTTCTCGCCCTTCTTGGAGCCGACGAGCTCGATGAGGCGGCGCTGCGCGGTGACGACGTCCCGGAACGGGGTGAACGGCGGCGGGATCGAGGCCGCCACCGTCAGCACGTTGTCCCAGATGCGCGCGTCGGTGTGCTTGAGCGAGGCGGCGCGGTGGAGCGCGGCCAGGGCCTCGCGCTTGCGCTTGTACGGGTCCTCCGGGGCGGGGGCCGCGTCGTCGCCGGAGGCTTCCTCTTCGTCGTCGGCCAGAGGGGCCTTGGGGGGGCGGGGTTGTTCGGAGATGACCGGGGTGTCTTCGTCGGGCTTGGGGGAGCGGAGGATCGCGGCCGCCAGGTTGCTCCAGCCTTCGGCGTCGGTGTCGTCGAGTTGCACGGTGCGGGTGAAGGAGAAGATGGCGTCGTCCCAGCGGTGGAGCTCGAGCTGGACGCAGCCCAGCGCGAACCAGGCGCCGTGGTTGAGACGGTTGATGTCCAGGCTCTTGCGGTAGGCTTCTTCGGCCTTCTCGAGGGCCGGGGGCTTCAGGGTGAGGTAGTGGCGGGCCAGGGACCGCTGGGCACGAGCGTATCGCTGGTTCGATACCTCCCAGGCGCGCTCGTACATGCTAGCGTCGGTGTCGATGTCACCCAGGATACAGAGGAGGCGAGGCGCATCGGCGGGCAGGGGAGACAGCTCCAGTCCTTCGAACCTCTCGCTGTCATCGTCGGGATCCTGGCCCGTCGGTTGGTAGAGCTGCCTGCGGACCATCTGTCGGGCCTTGTCCTCTCTCTCCGTTGCGGCGTAGCAGAGTGCAGCCTCAGCCCACATCTGGAGACGCTCGTAGATGTCAAGGGCGGTCCGCAGACCTCCAAGGTTGACCCACCGAGTGGCAAGCTCGGCCTCCAGGTCCCAGCGGGTGGAGAAGTTCATGAGCCACACGTATTGCAATCTCTCGGCGGCAGAGGCGGACTCGGATTTCTCGGGGCGCGGCAGGAAGGTCGTGGGCTCGTCGACGGCAATGCCGGCTTGTTCATCGGATGTGGCGGTGTCAGCAATGACCTGGTCCACGAGCGCTTGCATTTGCAGCACAGATCTCTCGACGGTTCTGGATCGGTGACCTTCGACGCGACTACGCACCAACAAACCCTGAGTGTAAATCTGCCAGTTCGAGCTGCCACCTTCCAAGACACGGGTAGCGTATGGCGCCGTCTCCTCGCGGGTGATGCCGTTCTCCGGGGCGGTATTGGTGATGGCCGAAGCGAAGGCAAGAAGAATGGCGGAGTCGACGGGTTCGAGCTTCGGCTGGTCGCCAGGGTCCAGGGCAGCCAATGCCGGCGGGAGTGCCGCTTCATCCTGGACAGTCACCGGCTTGTCTTGGGAGTCTTGTCCCTCGGCCTTAGCGTCGGCCTTAGCGAAGGAGATAGATTCCAAGAGGGTGTCGTCATTGAGGTCCAGGTTCTTCGGGCCCGAGGCATTCTCGCTCTTGCTGTCCTCCGACGTCGTTTCGGCGCTCTTGGCCAGAATCACGAGCTGACTGACATCGCGTTCCTGGAACTTCGTTCTCTTGCCCAGTTTACCGGTCAAGGCGAACTCGAACTTCCGTTCTTTGGCGGCCTGCTCGAGATCCGCACGGGCCTTGGCGTCGAAGCCATGGACTGTGTGGATGGTTGCTCGCTCGAGCAAGAAGCTTCCCTTCTCTTGCGCAGTACATTGAGCACTCAAGACCATCTTGCTAATGTCATCGAGCTCGTTGTAGATCGCATCCTGCAGTGTACCAGTGACCTCCGACAGCATCTTCTGGTGGAGGAAATTGACGCGGAGTCGTGCCGTCCTGGCCACCAGCGGGCCGTTCGTCACCAGGACATCGGTATCGGCCAAGATGGCCTTGGCGACAGCAAACAGCTCGACGTTGGGGGTCAGCTTGTAGGCTGCCTCGCCGTCGACGGAGAGGTTACGAATGACATGGGCACGAACGGCTCGGAGGGTGGCTGCGTCGGGCCGCAGAGCAGCGGGGATGATGGTGTCGGCGGGGCTGTAGGTCAAGGGAGGTCCCGTAACGTTGGATTGCAAGAAAGCGAAGAGAGCAGCCAGGGCAATGTGAAGCAACTGCGAGCGTTGTTGTTCGGAAGTCAAGCCCTCGACGGGCGATTGCGAGACCGCCTGCACTTTCTCGGCCAGAAAGCTGGTATAGGATACCTCGCCCTTGGCGATGCGATTCAGAGCACTCTCATCAGAATTGTGTCCGAAAACTTCCTTTGCGAGCGGCAGTTGCAGTATAGGAATGATCTCGGCGTCTGCGAGCGAAATGGGGTCGTATCGGTCCCGCACTGGTGATGTCTCGTCAAAAGCCGTGTTCAAGGACGCGGGGAAGGATTCGGTGGTGTCAGCCATGGTGATCGCACAAGTAAAGGACTGTGGCTTGAGAAAAGGCAAAGGCGGGCGCAAAAGATCCTGTAATGAACAATGGTAGTCGCAAGGCGGGATTTCAGGTACGAATGATTGTTAATCAAGATAAAACAGAGCAGGCTCTTCACATTAGCAATTCGTTAGGTATCATAAAAAACTCTCTGGCAAAAATCAATCACAGACTCATGCTATGAGTTCTTGACGATCAGAAAACCACCGCGACTGAGCCAATTTCCCAGCACGACAATTGCAAAAGAGGAATGGCTAGAGGAAAGAGTCAGACCAAAGTGGGAAAAAACGAAGCGGGATGGCGGGGTTTTTTTTTCTGCCGGCTCTATCGATAAGGATACCTCGGGGCGGTGACAGTACAAAAAGTACAAATGACTTGGTCGTGGCAATTAGACTATCTACCTAACCCAGCCGGCCTAACACCACCTACGGCGCTATGACCACGCCCTTGATCAATCCAGCAGTACAAACACAACGCTTGACTTCGTGCTCACTGCCCAGGCACCTGTGCATGCTCCTTGAGAATCTTATTCAGCCCCTCCCGCTTCACACATTCATCAAAATGGAAGCTGTGAGCCAGCTCATCCAGCTCCTTCTCATCTAGCCCTCGGAACAACTCCGCGAATTCATCCACAAAGCTCGCCGCCAGGAACGTCTGAAAGACACCTCGCAGCACATGGCGTTCCGTGCCCCACGGCGTGGGGTAGGCCTCCTTCGCCCGCGGCTGGACCTTGTCAATCCAGTCCACGAGCGGCTTTAGGACCGCGGCGGGCTCCGGGTGCGGGAACCGGCCCCAGGCATCGAGCCAGAGCTGGCTCTTCTTGTTCAGGAACGGCTGGATGCGTTGGTTCCACTTGCTGTTGGGGTTCGTGTGGATCATGCCCTGCAGGCCGATGTCCTTGTATAGCCAGATCGACCAGTGGATCTTGTACTTGTCGTAGATGCGCAGCTGCTCGCCGAGCAGGTTGTAGCGTTCCTCGTTGATCGTGTCGGCCTCGACCTCGGCGCGCGGGTTCTCGTAGACGGGGCCGAATTCCCCGTTCCAGATGGCCGTGCCATGCTGGTTCATGAACTCGACTTTCCGGAGGTACGACCGCTCGAGGTGTTGCTTTTGCTCCGGCGTACCCTTGTACCGTTGCCCCGTGGGGAAGCCCATGGACTGCGAAGCAAGGAGTATCAGATTAGCGAAAAAGAGCCTCGCCTGAATGTACAACAAAGCTCACCGCGTAATCATGGATGGAGTAGACACAGTTCGGAAGAACCTTGTCGAAGCCCCTCCACTCCATCGAAAAGGTATTTCCATCCAGCCAGAGGATGTGATCCGGATCGACCTGCCGGATCGCCTTCTCGATCCTCTCGTAGAATGCCGGGAGGCGAACATGCTCCGGATCGCAGGGCTCATTGAGGGGGTTGTACCCAGCAACCCACGGGTTGGCCTTATACCTCGCCGCGATCTGCTCCCATAGCCACACCGTCCGGTCCTGGTGGTCTTTGTAGTCCCAAAAGGCGGCGTAGCTAGTGGGATTATCCGAGTGCCAGTCGGGGTTCTGTCCGCCGGGAGTAGTATGCATATCGAGAATCGTGTAGATCTTCTCTTTGGCACACTATCGTCCAGCATAGAAGCACACTCGTCAGCCCTCACACACTTTCTACATGTGGCCAAGTAATGACCGAGATCCCGTGCTCACCAGATCAATGACCCGATCCAGATGTTTGAAGCCGCTTTCCTTCAATACTCGTGGGTTCATATCATCCTCCAAGTGACGGAAGTTGAACGGAATTCGCAGACAGTTCAATCCCAGCTCCGCATAGAATTTGGCATCGGCTTCGGTGAAGAAATACTCGAGCCACCGGTCGAAGAAGAACTCATACTTCTCGGGTCCCAGCACTTTGCGCATGGCAGCGCGATGTTGGGACTCATGGCCCGGAAAACCTGTGATGAAATTCTCCATGCTAGGCTGGGGGTCAGACAGTCGCAGCGTTCTTGAATCGGGAGTTGGACGCACTTGGCCCATCCACCTATGGCAGCGCCACGGAGGAGCACTTCATCACCATTGTTGTCGACCACCTGGTTGCCTTTGACCTTGAGGATTCCAGCTGACATCTTGTAGAGCAGCTAGCTGTGACTTATTATACGAAGTAGAACGAGTATCACAAAGGTGGCTCTGTCTGAGGAAGTGGCAATCCTACAGTGCAAGTCTGAGTACAGTTTGCAGATGTGAGGTATCAGCACTGACAAGCTCGAAGGCCGAAGCTGCCTGCTACAAATACCCCAAAAAAAGGCGGGGTGGACTGTTCGTGATCCGGCGATGCTAGGAGCTTGGTGGCTCAAAGTCGGGTAAATGAAGCACTTTAGGCTATGCGAACCGAAACCATCCAGAAGCCAAGGTTACGATGATTCCGTCAATTGGATACTCTTGCCGACTGGTAACACTGTCAGTTCACCAAATATTTAATGAAGTCAGCGCAGCCGCTTAAATTCAGCTTGGCATGGCTTGAGTCTGCTGACCTACCAAAAGCCATCCTGCAAGGGTTCATGGGAGATGTAGATGTCCACAATCATATTAGCCGTTAAAATCCAGTACATGTGCCCTAAGGGTATCTGCAAGTACAGACATCAAATGCATCAAAACATCCGATCAAATATGCTCAAACACCGTAGTCCATTCACATGAACAATGCTTCCTTTTGGCTGGCCGGACTCGACCAGGCATGAACAAATAGACAAGAATGAGTAGAAATTCTGCAAACAGCCGCTAGTGTCAATGAATGTTCAGGGGGAGAGAGAAAAAAAAAACGGGATGTATGTACTATTGACGCTCGAATGAGAGGCCGTCAGAGGACAAGATCACCAGTCTTGACCTCGGTCCTTCATCAGGATCTCAATAGCTTCATCCTCAGGAACTGGATTGTCATTCAGATCCTTGACGCATTGCGTGAGCCCTTCCACCGCTTCATCCACTTGTTCGGCAGTCCAGTCAGTGCAAGCCATGACTACTCGACGGTAGTTTTGTCCCAAAACGACATTCTTGGATCTTAAGCGCTCCACCTCTTCCAATATGTCATCGTTGAACTTGTGGTATCCCTCTATTCGTTGCTGTATGCTTTCTGCAGGTGGAAACGAGCGAAGAAAAGCAGCTTGCTGCTCGGAGAATCCAGAATTTGGATCAAAGCTCTCGGGGAAGATCGCTTCGAACGCAGCAATATCTAGGCCAAACTCTTTGTCGGCATCACCAACCATGTACTTCTTGGACATATCAAATGATCCTCCCTCGGTCTCTTTCAGTTTGATAAGCAGATCTTCCGATGACTTCTCAAGGTTCTTGCATCGACGGCTAAGTTCAATGCGCTCTGAAGCTCTACTCTTCAGGTCGTCCAGGTGCTTCTGTTCAATCTGCCGGGCTTTAGCCGACTCCCGGATCTTAGAATGCCAGTGGTCAAACTTCTCTTGCTTCTTTGTCAAGCTGGAAGCCAGATCCCTATCAATGCCGCCTAGCGTCTCGTGCACCAATGAAGTGATCTGCGCCAATGTCGCTAAAAGTCTGTCAGCCAGGTAATCCTATAAGCAATGAGATGGAGCTCTTACAGTCTAGAATCTCTTTCTTGGTTTTGGCCAATTGGTCCATGAAAGAGTCATTCCTAACCCCGGCTTGTTGAGATTGGCCGTTGCCATCAACCATATCCACTCCCACTCCATAATCGGCCGGTCGCAGACCAGTATGGTTCGGTATATGAGGATCTGCGCCAACTTCTAGAAGCTGAGGTACAAGGACAGAGCGTGCGCGTCCCGCCAGATTAAGCGCAGTATCTCCTTGATCATCTCGGAGGTTAACAATCTCGGATATGAACCGACCCAGCGTTATGACCTCTCCGGGGTGCGGTAGGGCTTGCCCATTCTCCACGACACCAGCAGGACCCGGCTGATTCGATGAAGAGCCACCGTGGCGAACAATGAATTCCAGAAGAGCCTCTAGATAGTGTTTCGCTGACACATGGCCCCCGCCGCCAGTTGCCGCCATCACGGCAATGTGATGTAGGACTGTTCGCCCACTATAATCAACCATGTCAATTGTTGGAGCCAACACCTGTAGTAGACGTGGGAAACTCCGGTAGTCGAGATTGTTCCTCGTTCCAACTGACTTTTGTAAGGCCGTTTCACCTGCCCCGTTCAGCCGGAAAATGTTGACGCCTTTCTCCACCAGCGCATACACAAGTGGCATGCGAGCAAGCATTGCCGCCCAGTGGAGTGCATTGTTACGGTATTCATCCAATGGGATCTCCAGGTCTTCTCCGGATAGTTGCATCAAGGCAGGATGCTTCGAAAAGTCCTTCGTCCTCTTGTCCAGGAACAACGTCATGATAAGCTTCATCTTCTGGAATCTCTCGGGAGTAGTGGCGGGTTGCAGAGGCTCAAATCCGCGCTTGGTGCCATCGATCATGGAATTGGAGACATCCATGTCTTGGTAGAATGAGTCGTTGGGTTCAGTGGGAGTTGGTTCGTTCATCGACAAAGTCGACTGTTCATAGGGAAGTCCGAAAGATGGCGCATGGTTGGAAGCAGATCTCATGCGTTTGCGAGGAGGTTCGTTCGGCTCCTCATACTCGAAGCCTGAGCCAACGGGACCTGGGTACCGACCGTTGCTTTGAACATTGCTTGCGAAGCCGCTGTCGGATGCAACACTGTACATGCTCTGTTGGCTGTTGAATGGGATTTGAGTATCTTGGCTGCTTAGCTGTTGTGAGGGTTTCCGCATGGTATTCGACTTCCTTCCGTCAACACCACGTGCGGCCGGCGAGTCGAAGCGGGCTTTGCTCATAGCATTGACCGCAGTAGCAGCAGTGCGAGAAATGTTCTGGAAGAAGGTGCCCTGCTGAGGCTGGGACATACCACGGTTGTCCATGTGGTTATAGAGGCGTTTCCTTTGTGCAGCCATTGCCTGCTCCTTCGTCGGAGTATCCAACGAGTCTTGTGCATTTCCGGTCGTTCCATTGGGGCCCTGGTCATATTCCAGAAGCGGTCTCAACAATTCCTCAACATGGTATTCGCGGCACAGGTCCACACCTCTCTGGTAGTTCACCCAAGTCCCCTGGTATTTGCCGTATCCACCCTGTACTTTTTCATGCTCGCCAGCCGCAATTTCTTTCTCCAGTGTTTTCGTCCGCCTGGCCTTGACAACACCTGCAACCTTCAGAATCTGAGTGGCGTTGAGCCAAGAGTCGGTGCGGCGTTTCATGACAGCAACCCCATTTACCTCCATTTCGTAGACGGCGACATTAGAGTAGACAGCCTGTAGGGAAGGGCAAGCGTATGTTAACGTCACTACGAAGTAGTTAACCTGAGTAGATGCGCCGAGGGACTGACCTTGTAAATCTGAGGTTTGAATTCCTCATAAACAGTGCCATAACCATGCATATCTTCAAAGGTACTGAAACTACCCCTAGGTCCATTGGGCAACCCATTGGCGTAGCTATAAGACATGGTCGGCTGTTGTGATGCTTTCGGAGGCGGAGTAGCTCGGGGGGTAGAGGCTACAGATTGAGAAGCGTTGAATGAGCCCATGTGCGACTGTGAAAAGGTCATGCCGTTGGCCGAGCCCATGCTGCTCTGCGAGTAGGACATCTGGAGGGTCGGACGCTGTGGGTGGTGGTTGTTGGAAGCCATTGTGTCCAGGTTACTGCGTGTGTAGGGTGTCCCGCCCAGGCATCAGACTTGTCAAAGGCAGCTTAATGGGAAAAGAAGTCAGTTTGAAGTTGAATTGCAGCCGTCCAGGCCAATGGCATGACAGAGTCGGTATGTCAAACAAAAGAGTAGAAGCATGTGGGGAACTGCACCTATGCTGGGAGATCTTCTCGGCCTCCGGAATTACTGGTAGACCACGGGAAGTCGCGCAAGATTGAAGGGAGGCGCGTGGCTGGCGCTCCGACCGTGAAGGGGATGAAAGGGACCGGGGGTTGTAGCTAATCTGCAGGGAGGAATAAAACATGTAAACACTTCCCGCTTCATATAAGATCTACATGGAAATCAAGATGCTTCAGAGAGAGATTCAGCTTGTATATCAATAAATTTATTCAAATGAGTAGGAAGAAGTCGAGTTAACCTCGAAAGCTTCGCGGGGAACTCTCGAGGTTCGTCCGTCGCGTGCGCGGCTAACCTGAACCGTTTTCGCGTTTCGCCTTCCAGTTCGGAACAAACAATCTACTATTACCCTTTTAAGAGTTCCGCCTTTTTGACCGCCTTTGTCTCCGCCTAACGACTCGAATTATCGAACAACCGGATGTCTAATGGTGAGCAAGGAACTCCGCGAGAACGAAAAACGAGTCAGTCGGTTCTGAACGATGCCCCCAAAACTTACACCTGTGTCGCCAGTTACGGTCCCCGCGGAGACATGGCGGCAGCTCCTTCGATCACTCCTGCGCGAGGCATCCTATCTCCCCGACCCCGTTGCCAAAGGCTACATGCATCGCTATGTTCTCAGTCGATTCCGACACTACGCGGACAACCCCAGCTTCGAAGAACGGAATGATCTCTGGCAACGCTGGCGATTGCGGAAGACAGCCATCAAGGGCCTGTCAGTACTACGAAGAGCCAATGAAGGTTATATGAAACCACTCGAGAAAGTCCTACGCATGGCATATGGTCGCAGCGGGAGTCGGAGAAGGCAACTCGTTCTAGACCTAATTGCTCGAGCGACTCCGCCTTCGGAGCCGAAACCCAAGTGTTTGGAAGATCTTCTGGCCAAGAGTAGCATGACAGAGGACTGGAAACCGCCTGAGGTCGTTCAAGATCTGTTGAAGGCTCAGCTCCAACAACCTTTGCTTCAACACCTCGATGCCGCCCCAAGACTCAAGGATTTCGAGCCAGTCATACCCGAAAAGAATGCATGGGCTAGGCCGCTTCCACATTGCCGACGAAGGAATATCAGAAAGGAATGGTACAGCAGAGTCTTGGCCAACCTCCTTCCACCAGTCCCACCCCGCGAGCTATGGCTTCTTGAAGGTCTAATATCAGGCCGATTGCCATGGACGCCACCTAAAAGAAGGAGAGCCATTGGAGCTGCAACTGCTCCTCCATCTGAGCCAAAACTTGATGTCGACTTCCTGGTGGATGGCCCAAAGAAGGGACAGACGTTCAAGCCCTATGCCGGCGGGCGACCTCATGTGTTCACACGTCGGCTCATGGTCAGAGCTTGGATGCGCATCTCAACTCTAATACCCCGCGTTCTCAGATATAGAAAGGACGGGACTGGGAACCCAAAGCACAGGTTTACATGGAAACGAGAATCTCCAACCAAAACAATACTCCCGGCGAGAAGGGAAATGAGTGCTGAGGTTTTTGAGGGCGTCGATTCTCGGGGGAGATTGCTCGCAGATCGACCGAAGCAATAGCAGCAAGGCAACGTCCAACTTCAAGACGCACCTAATGTCAAGACTTACTAACATACACACTTTTTGAGACACTACTTAAGGGAATTTGAAATACGCCTTCAAGACTGCATCATACCCCGACAAATGGGTCTTTCGGATGCTCACAGCAAGCGCTCCTATCAATCTCCCCTAGGGATAACAGTTCCGCATGATCCGAACTTGCCCAAACTCATTGATATATGGCTGGCTTCCGGCCCGAACGATCCAGGGTCCGTTGACCGGCTTCTCTCGTTCGATGCCATAAGGCCAGATGTCCTCCATGGTCAGACGAAAATCATCATTCGGCTCCCCATTCTTGATCCTCAACTTGTCGAAGAGACATATGCCGCATAGAAGACTATGCCCGTGTTGCCCACGAGGGCGCCCTCTTGCTTGAGGAACACGTGCAGCAGACCGGAGTTGATCGTCTTGTCGCCCCCAGGGAAAGCCGCCTTGGCCGCATCCCTCAGGAACCCGGCCTTGGTGACCCCGGGCCTCTCGACATGCTTCCGGATCATGTCTCTGACCCGATCACAGGTCTCAAACACGGGCACCTCAAGCTCATCGTCCTCCTCATCCTCCAATTCAATACCAGAAACATCATACTCCGAGTTTCCATCAGCTGCACGACCGCTACCTCTACCCTTCCCCGCCGTAGCCGCCGTAGCCGTCCTCGCCCTCTTCTGCGTAGCCGTAGCTGTAGTCATAGCCTTAGCCATAGCCATACCCGCACCCGTACCCGCAGTAGAATTCCCCGAGCCATCCCCCAAAACCTGCTACCTCTGCTGCCCCAGCAGCATCCCACCCACCCGCCTCCCCTCCTCCCCTCCTCCCTCCCGCGAAAGAACTCCCCCGCCCGAACAAACGTCACCGACCTCGCCCCCTTCTCCGGGCCATCCCCCACAAACTCCCGATACGACTTCGCCGACACGCCAATCAGTCGCTGAAACTGGGCGGGCGTCATCTGCTGCGCGCCGAGAAAGTCGCGAATCTCCTGGCGGACCTCATCGCAGTTCTTGTTGACGAAAGGCGGACCGCGCGACGACCGGTTCTCCTTGTCATGGGGGTCATCATCATCATCCTCCTCGGCGTCGAGATCGATCACGTCCAGCTGCGCGTCGGTCGAGGAGCGCTTCTTCGTGTTCGCGCCTGTAACAAAGGGTTTGCGGCGGCGGTTGACGTTCAGCTCCGGGTGGAGGGCGGAGGAGACCAGGCGGGTGAAGACGTCTCGGTAGTGTTCGGGGACGGCGGCGAGACGGTCGGCGAGATGGTCGCGGGGAGGCATGGTTTGGTGGGTCGGTGTGAGTAGGTATAGGGTTGCGGTAACCTAGTGTATATAGGGTATAGATGTTAAGGGGGAGGTGTTGGAAGGCAAGAAAGATCCGAAGTAAGGAATGAAAGAAGAAATAAAAAGAAAATGTCACGTACGACGATCTTTTTTTTTTTTCTTTCGTTTACTTTTTTCGAAAACGCCGTTTGATCGGTGGTGACCTGTTCGCGTCAATGGGCCACCTAGAACCGGGCCACCGTGTAATGGGCCACACCTACTTCCCGAACACCACCACGTAGTTCCGGAACGCCGCGTTCTCCTAGGGAAGTATAGGACCTGGAAAGGCTGAACATGATCATCCAACGTATCAAGAAAAAAAGTGTATTCATTGACTTGCAGGCACAGATAGCTCGGAACTCCCAAGAGCAAAAAAAGAGGGGGAAAAAAAAGAATCATGTGCGCCTTTTCCTACCTAGTAAAAAAGAAGCTTCAAGGAATCAAGTCATAGTGAACCCCATCATTGATCACCAAAGCCACGCGTCGCTTCTACCCAAGCCTCAGTATCTCCAACAAACTCCCTGACAGGCATCCGATGTCCTGGTGCTCTTTCGCTTCTGCTCGGCCATCTCCCCCCTGTGATATTGTACAAAATACAATGGGATATTATTGAAAAAAAAAAGAAAGAAAGATGACACCACCTTTCAGCGTTCCTGCCCAGGTCATGACAGCAGTAAAAAGAACAGATATCGTTAGATATTCTTTGCCACTCAAAAGACGTGTCCAACAATGCATGGCGTTTATGACGAAACGAAAAGATCTCATTACAAGTCCAAGGCCTTGTAGTCAGCCCCGGCCTCGGCGCTCAAGGGTTGCACCCCCCGGCTAGCATCAGCACCCGTAGGCTGAAAGTTGTACCGGTTTCCGATACCCGCCGTGGCGGCATCAGCGAGCAAGGCGTTGGTCTCTTCTCCTGGGCCCTTCAGACTGACCGATTGAAGAGTGTCTTGAACCTCCTTGACTCTCTTCTTGAAGGCCATTCGATCCAAGAAGAGCTGTTGGCGAGCGAGCTCGAGTTCGCGGCGTTCAGCCTCGATGATCTCCTCCATTTCGTTGAACTGTGCCAACTTGATCTCGAACTTTTGTAGCGTCACGTTCACCGCAGCCGAGACGAGGCGGGTCATTTCCCGTTCTTCGTGAGACGCCAACGCACCAGCGCGGGCAGCAGAGGCAGCCAGGGCAACAGTAGGGATGGAAGCTTTGCCTTCCTTGTTGGCACCGGTGCTCTGGGCCGTCTCAGCGGCGGGCTCCTCGCGAGTAGCATCCACCTCCATGGAGTCTTCTGCCTTCACTGCACTTTCCTTCTCTTTGCCCTTGTCTTGGGTCTTCTCGGCTCCGGAACCCTTCTCAAGTTGCTTTCTGAGCTCCTTGCGGATTTCCTCCACCGAGCGACCAGCCGCGGCAGCAGCCACAGAAGGCTCGGCCATCTGGGCCAAGAATGCGACCACAGAAAGAACAGGATTCTCGGACTGGCTGATCGGATCGCGTCCAGCCGCCGCCCGGATTTCGGGGGTGTCGTCAAGGTACTTGTCCTCAATCTCGAGCTGCAGGAATTTCATCACGCACTCCTCCTTAGTCCTCGACCCGACATGGTTGGCAATTTGTTCCCAGTTATCGTCAAAGTTCTCCAAGCCCTCAAGGAGCAGGATGAGCTCCGAGTCAGACCACGGGGCATCTTTGTCGGGGGCGATTGTGTAAGGGCTTTCTTCGAGTTTGACGAAATCGGAGGCGTTGTGGCTAGAGGGCATCCTGCCCTGCAGGAAACAATTGGGGCAGAGGTCATACTTGCTATCAGATGCGGCGTTGGCGGTCGCTGGCGTCGATTTGGCGTAGTGGAATCTGAGGCGAGTGCAGTCAATACCGCATGAGAAGCAATGGAACTTCTTCCTTGGCTCCTTGCTGGCACTCTCCAATGCCTTGGTCGCATCACCAGGGGTGCCGTTGGCTGCCGAGCCCTCGCCGTTGGTCTGCTTCTCCTTGTCTTCGCCTGCAGGGGTAATCTCCTTGCCCTTATCGTCATAGACGTTACGGCGGATTTCGAGGTTGAGATCGGCCTTGGAGGCAGGGGTGGCTGATGCTGCGCGATCGGTAGCGGGGAGAGGCTTGCCGGGCTTGACGAAGTGATTGGGGCCGGGCTGGAAAGGTTGCAGACCTCTCGGCGTATCGGCCACCACTCGGAAGTGACCTGTGAAAGGAGGACCGATGTTCGATGGGCGTGTCTGAGGATCGACCTGGTCATAATGTCAGCATACGAATGCGAGAAACTCGGCAGCAATTACTCACTTGATAATTGATCAAGCCCCACTGTTCCAGGAAAGAGTGAACCCGCATGATTGCGCATACGTCTCCGGCAAGATTCCGGCGGCATGCAGTGACTGTGAGGTATTCGATGGGGTTGAGTCTGTATGTGTTGATCATGAAATCACGGTAGTCCTTGTAGACCGCGGGGGTCTTGCTGCGGTTTCGACCGTTGAAGAATTCGGCGAGAGCTTTCTTCTCGATAGGGTGGATCAGGTGCATGTCGAACCAGGACGTATAGCTAGGGAGAATGATGGCATGGGTTTGTGAAACGAGATGTGAGCGCGCGGAGTTTTCGGCCGAAGCCTTGGACTGTGCAGGCTGCTCCTCCGCTGTGCCCTCTGCTCCTGATTGTGCAGCAACTTCAGCAATCTCATCGCCCTCGCTTTCCTTCTTGGTTTCGGTCTCTGTGCCGCCCATCTCCTCATCTTCGGGTTCGCCATCGGCAGTCTGGGGTTTCGGGGAAGCAGGGGCATCTAGCGGGTTATCAGTCTCTGGAGCTGTGGGTTTTCTCTCGTTCTCAGTAGATCTTTCTTGCGACTGCGATCTCGCCATCCCACGGTTGTGATGGTCGACATGTCCCGATTCGCTGCGGGTGGAGGGAGGCAACACTTACCGGAAGCACTGATCACATCACCCTGAGCATCCTGGGCGGCAGTGTTCGCCTGGATGTCATCGGCAGGACCGCCGGAAATGACAGGGCTGTCTTCCATATTGTTGATCTGATGGCGGGAGATAACGGTTGATGTCGCAAGCAATGGAGAACAAGGGACCTTCGCGCTCCTCAAGCTTCAAGCGATTGGTTAATCGAAGTGCCGGTGCGATCCCTAGTGCAGTTGTACTTGGGAATCTAGAGATATTGAGGAAATGGGGGGGAATCAGCAGGTGGTAATGACCACCAAGATAGCAACAAGTCGTGGGGAAGAAAGGTGGTGGCTTGGGAGCAGAGCGACTTGTCGCGACACGGGCCTCGCTCCAAAAACTCGCGCCAAGAGTCTCTGGTGCGCTAGTACCATTACGTACTAGCTCGGTTTCCTCCATCATCATTCTCATCTATACAAGGACTATTGAGTAATTTTGCAATCATTTATTTTAAAACAGCTTGATGGTCATTTCGCATCTCATAATCTATTGTTGTGTAGCCAGATTTACATTACTTGATGTCAAGAGGTCAATATTGGTTGCCTGCTTGACAACACCTCTACGAAACGGGCACACAATATATCAACACGGCACCAAGGCCGTCTCTACAGCGAACCTCTGGATACCATCGCAACCGTGATTCAGTGTATTGAAACTCGCATAAATAACATACAAATCAGTGCGCACACGCTTTGAAATCCAAAATTAAGCTCCGGGTTCATAGCCCACTCCCTCCTCACTCCTATTTGGCACCGAGATTCTCCCTGTACGTCTTCAGGCACTTTGCGATCGCAGGTCTCGCCTGCAGTCTCTGCAGCCAAGCGTTGACGTTGGGGAAGTCCTTCTCCAAATCAATGGCATCCCCAGTAGCCATAGGAATAATCTGGTACCACTGCACAAACGAAGCGTCGGCGTAGCTGAACTTTCCATCGACCAGGTACTCCCGACCTTCGAGGACCTTGTCCAGCACGCCCGTCACGCGGCGGATCTCGTTCAAGTAGCGCTCTTGAGCACTCGAGATCTTCTCGGGGTGGTAACGGGTGAACCAGATGAATTGACCGAAGTACGGTCCTTGTCCGGACATCTGGAAATGGAGCCATTGCTTGGCATGGAAGTAGCCCGGGGTGCCGGCCTTGGGGCTGATCTTGTTGTCTTTATCGTAGGTCTCGACGAGATATTCGATGATGGCACCAGACTCCCACAGGGTGATTCCGGTGTTGGGGTCTTCAATGGCGGGAACACGGCCGTTGGGGTTGATGGAGATGAAGGGCTCCTTCTTGATGGTGTCGAACGGCACATATTTGTGCTCAAACGGGATTTCGAGCTCTTCCAGGATCATGGCCACCTTCCAGGGGTTGGGGCCGCCTTGGTGGCCGTGGAGGATGATCGGCTTGAGAGACATCTTTGGGTAGCGGAAGAATGTGTGGCAAAAGGTATTTGATTAAAGTAGTTGAGAGGAGGTTATCTGGAGGATTGAGGCTGTTGCTGATGATGGGAGCTCATCTTGGGCAACGCCCTACGTTCCTTATATAGTTGAGTTGAAACGCTGAAGCTTCAGGACAGCATATCCTTTTGGATATCCCTCATAATCTGTCACTTTCTAGAGTGACATAATGCATAGCTTTCGGGTCACCGCAAATGTGGATGTTGAGTAAGTCGCCGGCTCATGAGACAGGTTTCATTGCCGAATCTCTGACCGCTGACAAATGCACAGCATTGGGCGTGTCTATGATCAACATTTCCATGGTAGGCGAGGAAAGTGGTAGGTGCTTCAGGGAAAGCCTGTGCATAATTGAAGTAAGGAGTATGTCCCTTCGGTTATTTTGGTTCTACTTAATTTGTCAGGGAACGGTGTGTCGGGGTTATATGAGTCCGATCAGGTGGGGAGCTCGAGGTTGACGATACCCAATCCGGGCGCATTCAACATTCTAAGGAGAGATGCATTAGAAATCAACATCAGTGGTTATGTGTGCTCCCCACACATAGCTTGGAAGCGGTCAGGATCGATGATCATGAAGCCACTTGTTCAAGGCAGTATCTTGGTCAGCTACCACGATGACTAGGTTACTAAAACAGGTCCAGCTGACAATGCAGTCCTGCAGGTAATGATAAGCAGTTGGCACAGGCGTTCTCTTTGCTTACAGAGCCCTACATTATGGCTGAAGAATACCAGTAGAGGTCTTATGACAGCGTGATATACTGGTAGTTGCTCACGCTATACCATTGTAGGTTAACTTCTTACAAACATGAGAGAGGATGGCGATGAGTGAAGCGTGCCGTAAGCTGCTGGACTCAAATTATAGCCCGTTAGACCAAGTCAACAAACAAGCTTCAAAAGGGTCGGTAGCTCAGTGGTATGAGCAAGAGATTGCAGATCTCGAGGTCGCGTGTTCGATCCACGCTCGGCCCTCAACAGCTTTCCTTTTTGCTTCCTATATCTTCTCTTAGGTGTGTCAATTGTGGCCAGAGCTTCTTGCCAAATGTAAACTTTTTGAGCAATGGGCTTGCGGTAGGAAAGAGGGTCGGTCCATCGTTGATTAATTGATTGATGCTAATTTTTTGCCTGAAACAAAAGGCGAGTGTTTGAGACTTTGAGGTAGGCCACTCTATACGAATATATTAGGCGCATTTGCTAGCATCGCGCGCATTGGTTGGTGTACCTGCCCAGCCACCTCATTGATCATTGATTGCCGCTCTTCCACTCAGGGCTGCCGAAGCGTTAGGCCAGATCTATGATGTCAAAAATTGTGCGGCCAACCACAATTCAAGGGTCGGTAACTCAGGGGTAGAGTGTGGGACTGCAGATCTCACGGTCACGCGTTCAAATCGCGTTCGGCCCTTGTCTTCTTCTTTTTGGCCTGCTACAATGCTAAACCAACTTATGCTTTTGTCAATAGTAAAGAAGTTCGACAGTAGAAGCCTTTGTCGGCCTGACTGTTGTTTCTGTTTATGGATCCCGGGATTTGACCCAATGCTTTGTTTATCACAACATTCTTTTACTTATCGTTCTGCGAATCTTACTAAATTGTGGCGTTCCATGGAAGAAGCTTTGTATTCGTGGTACTAGTACTTGGGAATCTGAAAATATATTCCGTGCTGGGTATCGCAAAATGGTATAATGTACACAAAAATCACCCATCCAAACCACGCTACGTACTAGAAGCCAAAGTCGAAATTGCCGCCTCACTTCTCGTGCAAAAGCTCATCCATGCCATCAAAGTCCGCATCGCGAACTCTTCCAGGACTCGAGCCTGGAGGGGAGATATCATGCTGGACATCAGTGTTGACTCCACCTGCGTCCACCCCAGCAGAACCCGAAGAAAAAGATTGCATATGCCCTTGCTCGAGACATCGTCTTTTATTCCTGTTCTCAAGAATCTCGTCCTGCAAGTCAAAAGCATCGTGACCATATTCCTCCCACTCGCTCCGGTAGTGTAATCGATCCCGCCAATCGAATAGATCATCCATCGATTTCCGCTCACCAATCGGTCTTTTGCGAGGTTCGGGCTTCATCTGACGAGAATCTCTTTCACCCAGCCCGTCGGTCTCGGCATGACCATATAACGAAGTAGGCGGAGGCGACCGACCGACTAGCTCCCAAAGGTTAGACTCTTCAGCACGGCTTGCTTCCCGGTCGACCTGTTCAGCATATTCGTCCTCAGAGTCAACCAGACTCTCCTCCAGGCACTCTCGTAGAATTGGCTGCCCAGAGAGAGGGGGCTCGATATCGTCACCGGCGTCCGAATCCTGGTCGTCAACCACCTGGCTCCCATCTCTACCCCTAGAAATGCTCCTCGCGATCGAGTCCGACTGGGAGGGTAGTGGTAGCTTCCCAGATAGAATGTCCTCTACCTCGTCATAGTCCATCCGTATTGACTTCCAGTCCTTCACGTGTCGATTATCCACAACATCGAGGGAGAGTCTCCGGGCGAGACCAACCCAAAACTCAGAGCTATCTCGCTTCATGTTCAAGACATCCAATGCTGTTCTGATATCGCGAGTTCTGACTTCGCGAGCCCTCTCCCGGCCGTCATCCTGCGATTTTCGCAACCTTGCATCCGCAAAGAAGAGGGACGACTGTACCAAGCGGCGCGTTAGACTCACAGCCAATGCATAGAAGTCAGCGAACGCATCCGCCGTCAGGGACGGGGTTTCATCTGCGAAGGACAAACTACGCCAGTTATCATCCAACCGTGTGCCCCCAGAGTTCATGAAAAATCGCTCCGAGAGATGAACCCAGTTCTCCATTTTGAACAAGCTAGCCGTGAGATGCACACTGGATCGGTCGTGAACATCCTTATCCGGAGAATGGGGCTGCTCGTCTAGAGTCCCTGTTCCTAGATCTTCTGCTCCCCCACCGTTTGTATTCTCGGCCTTTTGATTAGCCGTATTTTCATCTTTCGCGATTCGATGATCTGAGTCTTCGGCTCTCGCTCGACGGTCGGCTTTTTCTGTCTTGGCTCGACGATCCAATTCCAGAGCTTTCTCATGATCGATGACCCAGAAATCGTGATGCTGGAGCCTCCCGGCAACATCCTCATCCTGTTGCTCTTCCAAGCGCAGTAATTCGGCATACTGATCCAGAGTTCTGTGACATTGATTGCTGATCTCGGTGGCAGCGGGAACATCGGCCAAAATGATTGTTCGGCTATGCGATTGCTTCATATGGCGCTTTTGCAGACCGTTCTGTAAGAGTCTGAGATGTTCCTGCACCTCGATTTCCGACTTCGAGCCGAGTCTGCGGGCAGCCTCGCGGATTCCTTCCCTGCCCTTCCGGTCCAAGATGCGATATAAGACCCCCTTCTCCTGTGGATTCCAAACCACGACTCCATTCTGCGTCGAGTTATATTTCTCGGCGTCGGGATCCGCAAGATCGGGCGTGTCATCATTGGTAATTTGTCTTAACACATCTGCGTAGATATCCACTGCATTTCGCGGAAGCGCGGACTGTAGGTTCTCGAGAGCCGATGCTCGTGTGGTACTTTTACGTGTTACCCCGGAGGGCTCCGTGTGTGTTCTCTCATCATGCCCATTATCCAATGATGATGCTGATCGGGTGTTCTCGTCGGTGTTGCAAACAGGGTCCGATGGATCATCGTCTGACGAATTGCTCATGATCGACTAGCTCACACCGGATGCGTAGGTGAAACGAATTCCAAACCATCGCCCCAGATTTACATGAAAACCAGTAGAATGACCATCGGCGCAAGCAAGGTGAGGAACAAGTAAAGCTTTAGGTGAGTGGAGGACGCAGACAAGGTAAGGTGACTTTTATTTTTTATCGGGGAAGATTTCTGATAAGAACCTGTTTGCACTGTTTGCTTCCACCCGATAGACACTTAGCTTTTTATTGCCCGGAATTCTTTCCGTAGGCGTCTCTCGGTTCAACGCGGGAGGTTTATCGCTTTCACTCCATGGCATCTGAATGGACCGTATTCGCCGGAAATTGGGATCGATTCCCATTTCAATTGGGTTGAGGACTCTGAGGGCTCCCTGGAAGCCCAATGTACGTCTCGCGTCTCTGCGCTACAGGTCCGCTGTAGCATACGCAGATGAAGCACCTGCAGCAGCAGCTCCCGAACCGCCTGGGATTGTCCTTCGGGACTACCAGGAGGAATGCATCCAGTCGGTATTGGATCACCTGAAACAAGGTCACAAGCGCCTGGGAATCTCACTAGCCACGGGCGCGGGCAAAACGGTTCGTATGGAAAAAAGCATTGAGATTAAAGTGAGGGCCACGACTGACTGACGCGCCTTCAGGTCATTTTCACCCAGCTCATCGGACGCGTTCCGCCGCGCAATGGAAAGCACGACAAAGCGCTGATTCTCGTACATCGAAGGGAGCTCGTCGAACAAGCCGCCCGGCATTGTCGACTTGCCTACCCTGATCGGACCGTCGAGATCGAGATGGGGAATACCGTGGCAACAGGACATGGGGACATAATCATCGCGTCGGTGCGGAGTCTGACGTCCAAGGACCGGATCGAGAAATTCAATCCAGCACATTTCAAGCTCATCCTGGTCGACGAGGCGCATCATATCGTTGCGCCAACCTACCGCACTGCCTTGGCTCATTTCGACCTCAACGAACCTTCACCCAACTCTCCCGTTCTTGTTGGAGTGTCGGCCACGTTCTCACGCTTTGATGGCCTCAAGCTCGGCGCTGCCATTGATCACATCGTGTATCATAAGGATTATATGGATATGATCGATGAGAACTGGCTTTCGAACGCCGTGTTCACGACCGTTCGCTCGCAAGTTGACCTAGCAAGGGTCAAAAAAGACAAATTCGGCGATTTCGCCGTCGGCTCCCTCTCCGAAGCAGTCAACACGGATAAAACCAACGACATTACTGTGCGAGCATGGCTTGCCAATGCGGAAGGCCGCAAGTCTACTTTGGTGTTCTGCGTGGACCTGGCGCACACTAAAGAGCTCACCGCGAAATTCCGGAGTCTGGGGATCGATGCGAGATATATCACTTCGCAAACCCCTAAGGATGTCCGTGATGAGCAACTACGCAGCTTCAGGAACCTGGAGTATCCGGTGCTTCTGAACTGTGGACTCTTCACGGAGGGCACTGATATTCCTAATATTGATTGCGTACTACTTGCAAGACCGACCCGTTCTCGCAATCTCTTAATCCAGATGATTGGAAGAGGGCTGCGGTTGTTTCCTGGCAAGAAAGACTGCCATATTATCGATATGGTAGCCACCCTGGAAACTGGTGTCATTTCCACACCGACCCTTTTCGGGCTACACCCGGATGAAATACTGGAGAAGACAAAAGTGAAGGATATCAAAGAGAAGAAAGACGACGAAAACAATTACCGAGAGCAGCCCGACTCCAAACTTCCGGAATCCTATGCCGAGGACCCGGCTCAATCGGGCGACATCAAGCTCACCTTCACCAAATACGACACGATTTATGACCTCATCAATGACATGAAGTCGGATAGACACATTCGCTCTCTGAGCCGCTACGCCTGGGTCCGGGTCGCCGAGAATCGATACGTTCTGACCGGAACAGCGGGATGGCTCACTATTGACAAAGAGTCGGAGCAGCAGCAGCAGCCCGAGAAATGGACGGTGCACCATGTCCTGCAATTCGGATCATCTCAAGAGACCAAGAAATATGCCCGACCTCGTCTTATTGCCTCTGTAGCGGACTTTGAAGCGGCTGTTCACGCTGCGGACACATTCGCTGGTGTCGAGTTCGAGGAGCGATACATCTCTGCCCATCAGCCATGGCGCCGGCAACCGGCCACGCCGCCGCAGCTCGAGAGGCTCAACAAGGCTAAGATCCGTGACGGCACGATCACGGCTACAGATATCACTCGAGGACAGGCGGCGGATATTATTACGAAGCTGAGGCATGGTGGCAAGAAACGGTTCGCCAGGAAGATCAGGGCACGACAGGTCGCAGCAGATAAGGCTCGAGAATTCGAGGATCTGAAGCGAAGGACAGAGGTGAAGGTTGGGCCCTTGGAAAACTGAGAAGATCAGCAATGTGATAATCGATCTATCTGTTTTTGGCTACACGTGGAGGGCCATAGGCTTTATCTACATCGGGTCATCACGGCAATGGCAAGACTTGTGACGTTGACTAAGAGAGTTTTAGCGAGCTAGTCAAGATGGATTTGGACGGGGCATATCAGTAGATTAACACAAAGCTTCAAGTCATGTAATGGTATGCTCGAGCACTGTACTACTACTCTCTAGCCGAAGATACCTGGAAGTATGGAGTGTTTGCCCACTTTGCCGTGTTCGAAGACCTGGCAGTAACCACCGGGCACCCCTTCACACCTACTACATTGAAGTCTTCCGGCTCGCCTCGCCCGGCCATATTCATTTCCCTCCTCAAATCCGCAAGCAATGAAGGTACTACTCGAACAGAGAAGTCCCATACTCCAAGCAGGAATGATAGTACATGCTCACATACGCTCCTTTCCCCTCCGGATACGCGAGGGACACGATGCTGTGGATCCGAGTGGTTCGGCTCAGATCCTCATGCGCACTGCCAGCCCCGTTAGAAAAAGACACAAAAAGGTGATCGCGGAAAGAAAGAGGAGAATACTCACAAAACATACTGCAGGTCATTGACGTAAGTATTCGCCTTATCCTCCCAACCAAGTGACCGGAAAAACCGGGCCAGAGCCCTAGCCGCAAACAAGTCGTTCTTCCGATGCAGCGACAGGTACATCTTGGGGAGAGGCGTCTCGCGGTCCGGATGGATCTCGTAGTTCCAAGCTAACACGAAGAGCTGCCTGGCCAAACAACTCTGCCGGTGGGTTTCCTGCTGCTCTTCCGAGTTTCCAGCCAGATGGCGTCCACAGCTGCAGATTCCCGCCTCGTCATCTTCCACCAGATACGCCCACAGCCGACGCAGCAGCTCGAGACCCTTCTCACACCACGATTCCCCCTGCGCTTTCCCTCCCAGCGTCCACACATCCTCCGCCTTCTCCAGACTTGGGGGCTTCTCGCCGCCACACATCCCGTAGAGCTTCAACCTTGACGTCGCCGCATCAGCATAATCCCACCCCAGAAAGTTGAATTCCGTGAAATGATTGCCGGCCTCTAGATACTCGACCGCCATTCGCGCCGCAGCCACATTCCCGGTCCCGGTTCGCGCGTGCATGCGTTCCAGACACTCGAGAACGGTGGCTCCCAGCGCCGCCGGGGCGAGCTTCCACCGGACGCCCAGGAACGCATAGCCCTTGGCTGCGATGATACCGGCCGGCAGGAAGTCAAACCCCATGCAGTAGGTACCTTGCACCGAGTGGGGCGTGAATATGTAGTCGCGCACGAGCCGTTGCTCCTCCTCGCCGGAGACGGCGAAGTAGCCCATGATCTGCCGGTGCAACTCCATGTCGAAGGCCTTCAGCCCCTGTGCTGCCACCTGGGCGGATATTTGCGCGGCCGCCACCTGATTGAAGCGGTCATGGGCCGTGTCTGTCATCGGTCCAATGGGTTCCATGGTAAGACGCACGGTCGACGCGGAGCCATTGCCCTGGAAATTGAGGCTCATCTCGAATGGGTGGCCCGTAATGGTTAGCAGGCTGCGCCATTGATGCGGGTACGGGCCTAGGAAGGGTACGAGCTGATTGCGGAGGAAGAGGAGGTATTGGTACTGATGCGATAGAGGGTATTGTGCGACTTGGAGGAGGCGGCCCATGAGCGGGGCGATATTCTTCCACCACTTCAGCTCGTTGGGATTTGGAGGCTGCGTGGGATATTGAACGATGATGTCCCAAGGGCTGTCGGAAGCCTTGCTCTTGGACGTTTGTGTTTTACGAGCATCACGAAGTGTGGTGTCCTTGTCGGATGTTGCTGGCGGTGGTTCCGGCAATGGAGGTACCGGGTGCGTCACTGACTCCTGCGACTGGTCTGTTGTTGCCATCCTGGATCGACGTAGAGGTAGGTGGTGTCTGTTGGGAGGCAAGTGATCTTCCAAGACAGGCTTGGTATATATAGTCTCCGATTGCTATTCGACAAACTGCGGAAATAGCTCCAAGTATTCAAACTTGCTTTGCCTACCATGGAACATGTCAACGGTGGTTGTTGCATGCTAGCTAACTTGCGTCAACGAAGCGCCAGATTTTTGACCTATGTTGAGTCCTCTCCTGCTTTGACGGCACCCAAGATGTGCCCCAACCTCGTCACAGGATCTGCTCAGAAAGCCTCCTCAAGATATACTCCGAAGTCCGCTTCCCTTGGCTTGACAGGTTCCACCACTAGCATGGCCAAAGTCTGACGAACGTAACCTTGTCCTCCTCCCACTGCCGGAGTTCCTCGTCCGAGAAACCGTAATGGGAAGGGCGTGCGCGGCGAGCTGCCATCTGCTCCGACGCCGACAATATGGGCCCACTCCTTCTTGACATCCGTCAGGAGGCTGCTCAGCAGCGGCTCATAGTCCATCAGCACCAATCCCGGCACCACGCTGACCTGATGCCGGAGCGTATCCTGGGCCCGTATCGCGTGGAAGACTGTTTCGTGACGCTGCAGACACCGGACCAAGTAGAGGTTGTGCAGTGACTGCGCCAGATGGAGGGCCTTGGCCCTTTGCTGCTCGTCGGGGCCCATGGAGTCGAAACCGGGCGGCAAGGGGATCTTCTCCAGATTCTTGGGGACGGGGCCGTGGTAATCCAGAAACGCCGGTCGCCCCACCTGCATAAAAAGCGGGCGGGCACTGACGGACTGCCAGTCCAGGATGCCCACGATGCGGCCGGGGTCCTGGGGGTCGACCATGATGTGCTGCGAATGCAGATCGCCATGCCATAACACGGAGGCATGCGTGGCCATGTTTGCCGGGAGAACACGAGGCGCTACCTGAAGATAGTTGGCCAACGTGGAGAGCTTTTTGGCAAGACTAGGCTGGTATTGTCGGGGCCCATGGAAAAGACCTTCCGGCATGAGGGGGTACCGGAGACCTGCCTTTGTAGTTGCCATCTCCCTCCGCGCAACAGCCGCCATGATTCCGGGGGCGGTTGACCCTGTAAGTTGTGCATTGGTAAGTACAGGAGAATACTACCAGACCAAGCGAATGAACTTACACAGACCACGCTCAATGTCCAATGCGCCTCTCCCCAAGTCAAAGAAAGAACGGTGATTAGTCGGGCCAATGCCAAACGTCTTGCTCCGCACTCCGTTCCCAGTCGAATCAAGATATAGCGGTGACGTAGCATCAGCAGCATCGGAGTTGTTAGCAAGGTCGTCTTGATAGTACAAGGACCCGAGCTTGGAGAACCGTGTGGCCGCGAGGCGCCGTTCAATATCGACAACCTGGTACACAATCTGGACCTTCTGCTTTCCTTTCATGGTATCCCACACATCGGATAGTACCACGCCGGCCTGCTTCTCCATAAAGATATACCCTGCTCCGAGAGAGTTCTCGGATGCTCGAGAACTCCAGGCGTACACTCTGGGAACAGGGAGGCTCAGAAAGTTCCTCACCTAGCAAAGTGTTAGTCCCGACGCACCCACAAGACTTCGCGGTAAGAAAAGGGAAGCAGGCCATACAAAGTCCATAGTGGCGGACCTCACTGGCGGTCGTGCAGTGTGGTCTGCCTGCATTGGGATTGGGAAGTTCCGCAATCATCTCGCGGCCATCGTCCATGATGAGTTGGAAGACTTTGTTATATTGACCTTCCGAGACCTTCACCACTTGGGTGCACGATCGTGATCCGATCGCGGAGGTAGCTAGTTCCAGAAGCGTCGAAAGGTCGAACCTAACATAGCGACAGGCAGTTGTTGTCGCTCGTTCCAAAGCCAACGACCGGAGGTAAATTGACTGAGCGCCTCAAGGTCGTGCTTTGGATCCGCGATATTATCCTCCATTCTGGAACTGCTGGAAGAAAAAGGAGCTGCTATGAATGTATCGCGCGGGTGACAGCGATCGGCAATCGTGGCTCCAAGAGCTCTGCTCAGGAAGCGCGCTCGGATAGCCTTCATATCTGGCATTGGAGAAAGATGGGATGATCAGTCATTTCGTTGTCGTCAAGAAACACCCATCATCGCGTGATGGCTTGTGGTAAAGACGACTGGAGCTCGGCATTGAGTGTATATACGTACAGTACTCCGTAACTCACACTCCGTACCGTACATGTACTGTATGTACATGTGGGGGAAGCGACCGCGCATCTAACCCTTTTTTGGCGATTCGGCGCCTACGCCCGCGCAAAACGCCCACGCAGTTATTATCCGGTGATTGTTCCTAGCATTCTCCAGCAGCCACGATCGTAAATATACATCTTCTACCAATACCTCCCCTACAAATCTCCATAATACGTATCCCACGAGAACCAATCAAACATGCTATCGAACGTCCGGCGAGCCTCCTTGCCCTTACATGAAGGACTATGCCCAGGCAAAGCCCCCATATCAGCCGGGAGCAAGTCAAGGTAGCTGGCACCATTGGATTCTTCTAGATGTATCTGACGGTGCTCGTCACCGTGCTGTTCGTATGGTGGATTTTCAGTTCCAGTGGAAGTGGAGTGAACATTCCTCGCGAGCTGCAAGAAGATAGCCGCAACGTGCTCGAGCCTGGTACATAGGGTCGCCAGGAGACGCATCTGCGAGCGCATGCTTGTGAAATACGTCACCGTTGTCGCGAGGAGGTTGAGATCGTGTTCAACGGTAGGTGTCACCGGGCCTGGATGGTGCACGATGTTTTCAAAGATGACGAAGAAAGAGGTGAAGGGATAGTAGAGAAGGTGCCTAGTCCCCCAGTTAGTGATTAGTTTCACTAGCACCATTTTAAGCAGGAAGCAGGTGCATTTTACCAGGTGACACCGTTGTATACGGAATTCCAATTGGAGACCATCGACGTCAGAAGGGATAGGGCTTCGCGGGCAGATGACAATCGGAGACTTGACGAAGACTCTTCGCCTTTGAGTAGCAGGATTAGCACGTGCAGGTACTGGAACTTCATGCTGTTGATGCCGAGGGTCATTTCCCGGACTTGGTCGGCGGTGGATGATGCTCTCTCAGCTTCCAGAATTTCTGTCATACGCTGTATTGAGGTGAGAAGAGTCCTCTGAACTGAGAGATGGGGTGGATACCCACCTGGTTTGAGCTCGAGTACCAAGCATTTAGCCTAGAACGTAGTTCCGCGCGTGAGTAGATTGTGGAGTGACCGGTAGCAAGGACATCCGCAAGAATCCCCATCAGCTTTGCTAGTTCTATAGAACAACGGAGCATCTGTGCACCGAAATGAGATACTCGTTGGGGGATTTCTGTACCGTGCATACGAGTATGGGGCTGGAACATGAGTAAGGTACTTTCGTCCGGCAGAGGGACATGGTGATACAAAGCCGTGGGCAAGAAGGCAGGGCGCCCGAAGGCAAGAGAGCAGGATTTGTCCATCAGGAAGAGAAGCCAGAAGAGACACAAGTGATGCTGTCGCGATTCAAACGAGCCTTGAGAACTGGATATGTGCATGCCCAGCGCTTCAGCCTGCCTGCATGCGCTCCCCAGCAACATCCACGAGGTATTGGGCGCGGCGTAGTCCTCACCATGCATGGCTAGAAAGGCCAGTACTTGCACATTGACCTCGCGCGGCTCAAGGAAGATGCTGCTATTGTTGAGGGCTAAGTGCACGTTTTGACGTAACACTGCCGCCTCCTTGCTATCCCCCTCGACGGGTACGGCCGCCAACAGCATGTAGTTGAAGTAGACGACCCAAGCCTTTTCTTGAACCCTATGTGGTTCAAAGACGACTTGCATAATGACGTCGTCCGACGGACTGGTGAAAAATGGGTTGCCAAGGTCGGCTATCTCAAAGAATCCTGGTTTATCCCGCGTTGATGTTAGTTATAAGTGTAAAACATGAAGCACTAATCGGATAGCCCTACGACTGATCATTCGGTGTCCCGTTGCTTTGGAGGGTACATGAAAGACTGCGGCACTTTCTTCAGTCATCTGCTCAACATGACTCGTACCTAACTGGCTAGACAAATATCGAAGCTCGGAGCGGGCGCTTTGGTGAGTAGCATCGCTCTGTGGTCGGGGTATCTTCTCGATGCTTGCTGATGCCTCTCGCAAGAACGAGAATGAATGTGACGGGCCGATATAGAGCTTCGGACTGATACGATCCTTCTCAACCACAGTTCTTTGGTTAGCCTGAAATGATAGTCTTGGATCATCGGTCCGAGCGGGTGCTGAGGCATTGACTTGTAAAGCTTTATCAACGGATTTTGACAGCTGCTGTACTAGCTGCTCAAGATCTTGTAGTCGGCTCTCTATGGTACGCTCATCGATTGACCCACTACCCAAAGAGCTTGACAGTGTTCGTAATTAGTTCCCATGTTACATGGGCTCAATAGTGCTTGACTGACTTGACGTCGAATGTATCTCTCGAATAGATGCACTCGCCTGGCCATGGCTTGCAAGTATTGCATTTCGGCAGCTCCCGGGAACATCTGCTTCCCTTTAGTCAGGATTCTAAAGCATGCGAGCATATATGTAAGCTTACTTTAGCTTCTTCTGTTTGCAAAAGTCACACTGTGCATGTCAGTGGCGATTGTTCCGGTGGCGGTCAATCAACAGTACAGCTTACCGCAAACTGGGCTAACCTGCGTTGCATGGTAGAAGCACCTGGTTGGTCGGCCTCGGAAGGAGATTCGGAGCAGCGAGCCTGCCACCTATATTCCAGGTAATTCGAAGCAAAACTAGTAGTTCAATGTAAGAAATGATGGCCGTCGGCGATGGAAAGTCCGAGATGATCGTCCTTTGGTTCGGAGCCTCCGGGATGAGCCAATCAGAACGCTCGAACGGACACTCCGCGGCCCTTCCATAGATGCGGAATCGCGACAATGAGGGCTATAAGTATGCCTTATGACGGCTGCGTACCCGAAGTAGAATGTCAATAAGCATTCAATTTAACCTCTTCTCTCGTAACAGAGGACACTTCTCGAGCTTCTTCATTTTCTCTTCGCCGCATACATCCATACCCAAGCAATGAACCCAAACCCATCCATTGCGATCATCGGCGGCGGGCCAAGTGGTCTACTCTTCGCTCGCCTTCTCGAAATCAACGGGATCACCGACTACATCGTATACGAGCGCGATGAGACCGCCATTCCAGGTCCGTGGCAGCAAGGAGGCACACTTGACCTCCGCCCCTCCTCAGGTCAACTGGCGCTCCGCCGCGCCGACCTGTTCGATCAGTTCAGCAGATTCGCCCGCTGGGATGCCTCGTGCTTTCATATGATCTATCCAAACGGAGCTACGGCGATGCGCCATGACCAGGAGAGGGATGCTCCTGAGATCGACCGTCTGCATCTTCGTCAGCTGCTCCTGGAGTCGATTCCAGCGCACAAGATCCGGTGGGGTCATGCTGTGAAAATCGTCGAAAGGAGAGCGGCAGATGGCAGCCAAGCTGTTAGTGAAGCTAGTGATATAGTCATTCATTTCACGAACGGAACCATTGCGTCTGGGTTCCGGTTGGTAGTAGGGGCAGACGGGGCTTGGAGTAAAGTCCGTCCTTTGGTGAGTCTTTCGAGGACACAAGAGCTCCTCCCAATCGGATGATATGCCCCCTTTTTTTTTCGTCAAGAGTCCTCTAACATGTAAGTCTACCTTCATTGCAGATCACGACAGCAGAGCCTGTATACTCAGGCAAAATGTTCATCGAGGGCCGCTTGTCACACGAGAACCCTGGGTTCGCCACCGCCAAAGAGCTCGTCGGACCAGGAAGCATGTTCGCAGCCGGGCATCATAAAAAGCTGGCCATACAGCAAGTCTCTAATGGCACATATCGCGTATACTTTGGGCTGCAATCCCCCGAGAACTTTTACCACCACCGCGAGTGTAACAACAGCTCCTCTGGGGACGAAGATCTCAACAATCGCACCGAGCAACTGCGCAGTCTGCTGCTCTCGTCGGACGAGTACTTCGCCACATGGGGACCGCAGCTGAGGGAGTTTGTCGAAACCGCGGAGGGGCCCTTCCGTGCCTGGCCGTTGTATCGGATGGAGCCCGAGAAGCTTTGTTGGGGTGGGAAGACACCTGGGGTGACATTGCTGGGGGATGCAGCGCATGTCTCGACACCCTTTGTGGGAGAAGGGGTGAATTGCAGCTTGTATGACGCTGTCGTGCTGGCTGATAGCATTGTCAAGCATTGCGGTGTCGGTGCGGGATTCGATAGTGTGAGTGCAGAAGAGTTGAACCGTGCTTTGCAGGAATACGAGGAAGATATGCTAGCGCGAGGTCGAGATTTGATTGAGCGCAGCATGGCGATGGAGGATGTATTCTTTTCCGAGGATGCAGTGACAGGAGTTCTCGAGTTCTTCAAGAGTTTCAGTGAGAAGTCTGAGTAGAGACATCGGTGGATGAATGTTCGAGGTCTAGGTATCTTCTCTAGGTGCTTCAAGAAGGAATGGTTCCAATTGGCTAGGACCAAGGATCAAGCGAGGTAGTCAGTTGGAGGTTGAATGTATACGTAGTACCTGGTATGTGTATGATGTGAAATTGGGTAGTCGATAGGAAAAGGACCTTCACCGGAAGACGAGACGCGGAAACCACCACCCTGTTCGTACCTGGCCTGAGAGGTAAGGCAACCAATATCAGTATAGGTGGGGTGTCAATACAGTGCAGAGGATCCTTCCTTCTCAAATGGACTTCCCAAATCGACTTACAGGAAAGGCGGAATGAAATGCGCTATTCTTCTATCACTGCTTTCTTGGACACTCGCACACCGACTATCAACTATCCCAACAAGCTAGATCTGATTATCCTTAAACCCTGTTATCTATTTCACCAACTTAGACCTCAATGGCAAGCAAGAGAGCACAAAAGAGGAATCCGAAGCAGGCATCTCCTCAGAACAATGCCAGGATGTGAGCATGGCAGCATCCCCTCGTCCCCTCGTCTCCATTTCCACAGATTGCTAACCACACGCAAAAAAATACCAGCCAACCGAAGCGCCCCAAACCATCCACCACTTTGATCAAAGTACTGGTAGGCCCTCACGGTACTACGATGTATCGAATCCCCGAACAAAAAGCACGTTCGTCATCAGAGTTTTTCAACAAAGCACTGGCGGGGACATGGAAAGAAGGCACGCGGCGTACTGTCAGGCTTCCCGGCGTCGACCCAGGCACGTTCGGGGAGTATTCCTCATGGCTTTACCATTCAACCTATAACCCAAGTTCCGAGTGTAAAGGCCTTGTCAAGGCGTATATCCTGGCCGATAGGCTCATGGCTAACGAATTCGGGAACCAGTTGATCAATGCGATTGTGACTCGGCTGAATGTTGGCAGCAGCGAAGACCGCTTTCCGCCTTCCAAAGAGGAGATGGAGTTCGCGTGTCGGACGGTGCCTCCTCCGACGCCGCTTTACCGGCTGCTGGTGGATTTTGAAGTCCACGTGGGGTCGTTCGCGCTGAATTGGTTGAAGGACATCGGTCTGGACAAGTGGTTCTCGGCTATGGATGGTGAAAAGCTGAGCCGTGAAGACCGGCGGACCCAGCGGTTCATGCTGCAGGTGATGTCTACGGCGATAACTAGATTTGCGTCTAGTCGACCTCCACCATTCCTGATGAGTGTCTCGGATTATCACCGAGCTGTGAGCGGTGATGAGACCACCTGATATGGCTTCCCGTTTTGTTCCACCCTTATGAAGAATCATAACAATCGTAGATAGCCCCTACCAATGAAAAGATCATGCACCCTGCCATAGAAAATGCTCAGAAACAAACTACAAACCCAGCCCCAGTTTCCCTCTCCCCAGATTGAGTATACAGCCCATAGTTCTTGCTAGCAAAGCACAAATCGGTATGATACTCACCAACCCTGATATCCGTTCCCTTCCTGACCTTCCCCAACTCCCAAGATGCAGCCGCAAATCAAATCATCAAAGAATCCTCTGCAGCACCACCGTAATGTCAGCAGTGACTTTGTCGGATATAAGCAAGAACATGCAGGAGTAAGATTAAGATTTGGACTGTTCTGTGAGTCGATGGTTATGTACAAATCTTTGAATGACAGGAATTGAGTTCTAACTTGTGAAATCTGGAGATAACTATGAGTCTCGACAAGACCACTGCATTTCTTAACAACTGCATGAAAACCGAGAAAGTCTGCGCTCCTGTCTGTCGTATCATTCATGTCCTGGTGCGGGCAAAAAATAGCCAAGAAGCAAAACGAAATCTCCCCGACTGGGAGTCGAACCCAGGTCTCCCGCGCTTGTTCCCAAATGGGATTGACAAGCGGAAATCATGACCGTTAGACCATCGAGGAATGAAGATGTCCTCATTTCGACAATGTAACAATATGACATATTATGAAAAAGCCCGCCCAAATTATCGTCCGCCTTATACCACGGTTCAAAGAACCCTAATCTTCTTCCTCTCCATTAACTGAGTCAAACCAAAACAAAAAGCACCCAGAGGCCAAGAACTCAATGACAGTCGCATGTACGATCGCCTCCAAAATCTGCTACTACTCTGATAGGTCCAAGCTCACCCGAAGGCTCGCCCTAATCCCAGATGTCAGGCTCTGGATCTGCGTATGATTCATCGAGGGAAAGAGTGCCGGGGTCCTGTGCTGTGCCAGATTCGGCACAATGAAGTTGTCTGTAGATAATTCAAGGGTAGGACTTATCCTTTGCCTCTCGCGCACATGCTAGAGCCAATGGTGTTGAAGTTCTCCTTGGGTGGAATCAGGGACCGGACCAGGGCAAATGGGGCGTTGAGATATATCCCGTACCGATGCCGTTGGTGACTGTGGCGCCGTATCTGAAGCTATTGGATGTGGAAGGGTCGTCATGCATTGCATGGCGTTGGCCACAATGACCAGCGTAGACCCAACAGCATACCAGGGAGTGCCGTGCCTCCACGGGACCGTCTTGGAGACGGCCAAGGCGCCAACTAAGGGCAGTAGTTGTACCGTACCTTTGCCGGCAAAGACGAGCTATGCTAGACAAACTGGACATAGAGACGGGTAAGATACAGGGTCTCAAAAGGGATGAAGTGTCCGCGGCTGTACCTATTATATCACGAGATCATTTCCTTTCGGAGATGCACAGGAAATATCAGATGCATCAGGTGTTGACAATTTGGTCAAACCTGGTGAATTCCTAGGATGGTAACGAGAACACCCGAGACGCAGAAAAGTGCGATCTCGCAACTGCTGTTCCGAGCAAAGAGTGCGCTGCCAAACGAGAAACCATAAGCAAAGAGATTCCGGCCCCAACATCGACAGACAAGGGAGCCATACAGTGCAATCGAGAGTCTGCGGAAACTTCTGTGTCAGCCTTGGGATATCTCCAAGGGGGCTGTGGAGGCTGTTCTTGCCACAGGGGAGTGTCTCGGAGGACTTGGACATTGTAAGCAGTAAGGTGAATCTTCTTGAATTGAATAGTCATAAGGTCACTCGAGCTTTACACAGAAAGGGGTTTATTCACATACAATCCCTCTCAGAAGCGCAAGACTACAGTTATCTTCCCACATTTTATATCCTTCACCCATCATATCATGCTTTGATCATCGCGAATAATATGCACAGCATATATCCATAATTATCCTGGTGTACTTCAGCAAGGGCTTTGTAGAGGTCGAGAAAGCAAGTTCTCACATTCCGATGACCTATAACTTGGTTAAAATGACCAAATACAAGCCACGGAGGCAGTAAAGAGAGACAATCCGAGAAAAAATACAGCAGTACTGTATAGAACAAGACACCAAACTTTCGCTCCAAAAGGGTCGGTAGCTCAGTGGTATGAGCAAGAGATTGCAGATCTCGAGGTCGCGTGTTCGATCCACGCTCGGCCCTCAAAGCATTTCTTTTTTTTTTGCGCCTTTATCATACCTCTCAATTATCATATCTTCCAAGGATTGAGAATTGCAATTGATCAAGTGAAAGCCGACGAAATAATGGTGTTTATCCTGTAGCCTTACTGCGTATACATCCTGGCTCTCGTAGGTACCGGAAGCTTTGTCAAAGATACGACCTGCATACCTCATCGCATTTGCATACGTACAATACTTGGTCCCTCCTCTCTGTACCCCGAAAACTATATATATACCCGAATTCAAAGCACCCTTGAAAATGAATTGTTGTTCTAAAACCAGCAATAGGATACCCTTCGCCTTGATCCAAGGTGGAACCAATCCCTATGCACCAAAAGAAAGGAGGCGGCTCTTCGAAATTCTTGTATGTACACCCCAATGATTCTCTATGAAAGGTGACTAGGTAATTAAGGTTTATGATTTCCGACATCAACAACAGCAACAGCCGATCCCTCGCGCCTCCCAGCGAGAATTCCGCAAAATGCCCACGTACCTGCTGACTCTGGCCGGTGTGATTCCAGAATAGAGACACTGATGGGCCAATACCTCGCTCTAGACAAACAAGCCGAAGATGGCGAAGAGAGGGGAGTCGCTCTTCCTCCAAACATGAACTGTTCATGCCCTAGTTCCGTAAGCTGTAGTCAGATCAGATCTGAAAGTCCCGCGCGCTGGATATAGTGGAATACGAGGCAAGATGTATAATTATAATTTGCACTCGTGGCCAAATGATGCCAACATGGACAGGGACCAAGATAACCTGAAGGCGCCAATCTTTCCATCTCTGAGCATAATTGTCAGTTCCTTCAAGCTGAGCCACCCGTAAAAAAGCCAGTCAAAGGCCGTATGCGGGAGAAACGCGCTGAGGAACCGGACTAGAGTCTGTACCCATAACTCACGATATGGGAGCTCGATGACACGAGAGGCGTCAAAGCTATCAGCTTGAGCCAACAGGTATGGTCTTTTCGCTTGAGGTACTTCCGGCCTTGGCCAACGGAGATATAAATCACCTTTCTTAACAATCTCTTTCACCACAGACGTTCCCAAGAGCTCCTTATTACGTCCGTCGGTCTGCGTATGGCATATGAGGTTGGCTATCCTATTTTCAGGAGAACCCAGAAATCAAAGCCCTGTTGCCGAGGAAAGGTACCCAAGCCATCAATGAAAGAGGGTTACCCAGGCGCGTAGATATAGCCCTCATTTTTCAGCCCGAGAAAGTTCAATGCGACTGATCCGCTAACTGATAGCCATATTCTTAACGGCTTGGAGCCCCTCGGGTTGAAGGAGCCCAGAACGAAGGCCTTCGAAGGCACAAATCCGGGACTGAACGATGCCCTCGCCTTGCCTCTCTCAAGTGCTCTGAACCGACAAGGCAACTCTGGTGGCTCAGTCACGGCCTCCGCTCTAGCTGAGGCTGTAGCGGTGGCTATAGAAGCGGGCGAGGATGACTTTTGAGTGTCATAGTTCGTGTGGTCGTCAAGCGCTTTTCGTCGTTGATCTTGGTTCCAGTCAATATGATCGACATCATGACACCCATAACCAAGTTCGGGATGGCAAGTATGTTGGCAGCAGAGTTCCGGACCTAATTTTACCAAACATTCAAGACAGACATCTCTTCTCTCAGCATTCTGAACGAGGGGACAAACTTGAAGGGACTAGCGAAGGTTGTCCAGGAAGATCTGAAGACAAGCTGAATGTGCCGTGGAGCGACTTGGCTTCAGATCCTCATAGATACGTCCGAGTTTCAATGTCTTGATATCGTGGCTGCCATAATTGTACACGAAAGTGTCTAGTCATAGTCAGGAAGACTCCGGCCAAATCTAGTTCGGTTATCGGAGGTACGACAGCTTCCCCGCCTTCGAGCCTCGTTATAAGCATCGTCTCTTCCGCTATAGCGATAATGGGATCCCGGTCTTTTGGCATTGCTTTTTCCCGCCGCGATGTAGCGTGTCCCGTTCGCGTCGCACCTGGAGAAACCCACGCGAGTCACAACAATTCTCATCTTATATTCATCTTCAAAATGTAGAATCAGCTGGCATTCTAGGTTGTCCACCAATCCTTCAGCGTTTGTACACCATTGATCCCTAGCGCAAGAATGACCATCATCTACTCCGACGGGGATTATCAGCTCCATCGCACCATCAGAACAGCCCCCGCCGAGCATCTCCGGCGCGTGTTGACTGAATTATGCGCGACCAATTTTGAGGCGAGGAGCCTCATTGCCTCCGAATTGTTAGTGCCCGAGGACAGAATACCTGTTCCCACCAGCGACGACGACCGCTCAATCAAAAGTGATGGCAACGTGGACGATGACGAGGACGGGGATAGCAATGCTGAAGATGGTGATGATGACGATGGTGAAGATTCCAGCAATGAATCGCAAATCTCTGGGGCAAATAACAAGAGGAAGCGAGAAGACTCTACCTCGATCGCAGATCTCGATAACCCCCAGAAACGATTCAAGCCTCGCTACGCGTACTGCAGCAATTGTGAACGGGAATACGATGTGGCCGAGAACACAAGAATGAGCTGTCACTGGCATAAGGGTAAGATAATTTCCGTTATATAATTTCACCCTGTTATACATATTTCGTCGTTATCAACCATGCTAACCGATCTGCCTCCTTGCCGCGGGTTAGAACCACGTGGCGAGCCCGACTACGATAACCACTTTGTTGACGTTGACGAGCTCAAGATTTACCACATTGATAGTGATAAATACCGCGAGGAACACCCAGAGGGATTCATCCTTGAGTGCTGCGGTAGGAATACGCTCGAGCCTTGTCGAATGGGATTCCACCGATCGGAATAGTTTGCTGGGAACCATTTGTCTGCAATGAGTTGGCATGAAGAGTGGGAGGTCTTCAACCCCCTCGCTTCAGTGAGGCTGCTCTCAAGACTCTACTGAAATCGAATGGCACGTCGTAGTCGCGCCGAGCCTATTCGCGATGTATATTCTTATCATAGCCCACGTTCCCTCGGAAGCAGGCGAATTAAAGCCGAACCACTTCCGCAAGCTCCTCGAAGAAATGAAACCACGCTTTGCCAGGTGCAGTACTTGCGAGAAGAAGTTTAATGCACCGTCGACACAGGCACGAGCTGCAAATTCTATACGGGTGGAAGGCGTTGGCCCTTGTCTCGTCTTTCCGTATAACATCGGCCAGCAGCTGAAGCCAACACACATACAAACAGAACATAGCCTGCGCGGCTTCGGTTGCGCCAAGCATGCGAAGCTGAAGAGAACAGTGACACATTTCCAGAGAACTTATGCTGAGAGCATCCCTGTTGCAAGTTGATCCGGGGCCAGGCAGCACTAATTCACATAAGAGCCTCTATGGAAGAAGCAGGTCAACTCATGGTTCAATCGTTCATTTAGGCGATGTGATGATATAATCATGAGAAGAAACCATGGTGAAGACGAGAAGCAACTCAAATAAATTATCTAATCTAGCATGTCATTTCGAAGCCACAGCTTCCCACCCCTTGCACCACACGACCCAAAAAAAAAGGGCCCACTGCCGGTCTCCACAATACTTGACAGGTGGAATCCTCCGGGTTCGAGATAGAGTGACTAGCATCGAAGGAAACTGGTACGTACTATGTAGTATAAACTTGAACTTTCTCACTTCGTGCAATCAGCCTCAAACAATGCGTCTAAGCGCGTAATCACGTGATGACCATACTGACTGGCTAGCTCACTTACCTTGTTTCATTAAAAGCCCAGTGGTTCCTTCGTCGCTGATGTATCTGCCATCAAACCTTGTCCTATCGCAGCACAATGGGTAACCGAAGGGGCAGACCATGCAAGTACTTCACCGAGGAGGCTCGACTCGAGGCAAGAAGGTTAGGAAGGCGACGACATTACCGCCGATTACGCAGACGGCGAGATGATCCTGAGCCGCTGCAAGACGAGTCAGTATTGGAGTTCATCCCAGTGAACTTCGATGGAGCTACGCCACCACTGTTTGTGAGCGGTCCTCCTGCAGAGCTGTTCGAGGCTGTGCAGCAGGCTCTATTGAGGAATGAGATCGCTGATAGGAGCGTCTGCGGCCCGATCGACCTAAATTTTGTTCCATACGAACCCAGATCAAGAAGTATATCTCCGCAAATCCTGCCGTCGAGTCATACACACACCCAGAAGTACAACTTCGAAAAGCCTACCATTGAAAAGCCAGCCATCGAAGAGCCAGCCATCGAGAGGCTTCGTCAGGAGCTCGCAAAGGAGGATGTTATACCCGCTGACTACGAGCTCAACGATGCCATCGATTGTGCCTCGCGAGAAGATCTTCAGAAGATCTTGAGACATCTGTGCACCAAGGGACCCGAATTCAAGATCTATCTCGCCTCCTGCCTACAACCGGTCGAAGCCCAAACACCTCCCGCAAGTCCTAGCACTGCAGATACAGCCTCATCCGAAGTCGAGACTTTCAGGCCGATGACACTACCTCAATACTCTTCTGTGGCCTACAGGAGTAGAGGCCGTCGGCATTATTCCAGTGGGTTGCTCACAAGGCGGAAACTCATGAGACGTCCTCGATACTAACATGCTGTTTTGAGTAGAATCTTCAACACTAATAGATCGAGATTTTTACGTACTGGTCTAGAGCATGATAAGCGTGAAACCAAATAGCCAAGTGGCAGCATGCGCGGTCGTTGATGCTTAAAGAAAAACAGATCCAATACAATCAGCTCGGAGCTTGTGGTATCGATAGACTTGATACTTGACAGGCCACACGTGATACTGGGACAGTCATCTTCTCCACACGCTCGTTACTTTGTCACACCTTAGGAGGATTTATCGATACACCGTGGACAATTAGCGCGACGCGTCTCTTCTCACAATATAAATAACCTCAATTAGAACGCCTCAACTCGACTCGACTCGACTCCTAACCAACGAGATAAAACATCAGCTTTCCCCTTCTTTAGCACTCCCACGCATCTCAACATCCAAAATGCCAGTTCCGAATCCAAAACTCGACGGAAGGCTTGAGCATGCCATCACATCCACTTCCCCAGAAATCCTGCAGAACGTCGTGAAAGACCTCTGTGCAGACATGCCGGAAGCGCGAAACCACCTCTCTTCTCGGCTACTCTTACCCGAAGAACAGATCGTTTTAGTCAAGAGCACAGAGACCACCAATGGTCCCCTGGAAGCCGGGAGCAAGAGAAAGAGAGGATCTCAAGATTCTGTCCCCGCGTCGGACGAGAACAAGAAGGTCAAGCTCCGTTACGCGACCTGCCAGAATTGCACCGAAGAATTCGACGTGACGGAGAATACGAGCACGAGCTGCCATTTTCACCCGAGTAAGACTTGACATATAGCCACTGATATCTGCAAATAGCTGGCAATACCAAGTGCCGTATGAGATGGATAATGATTACTTCCAGGATGATTGGGAAGGTTTTGCAGGTGAATGGTGCAAGGAGGATTGGCCGGAGGCTTTCATTCATCCGTGTTGGGACAGAGACATCAGCCAGGAGCCTTGTGCAACGGGGTATCATCGAAAGGCTACTGGGAGAGCTAAGGAGAGGCGTTGATCCCAATCGGCGAATACGGAGCTCTTCCTGACCTATTTTATATATATTTGTACTCTTTTTATAATGCTGCGAGCGATTGTGTCTCCGACGGATGCGACAATATCTACACTCTGAGAGATCGATTCTGCTTCGTGTTGAGATTGTGTGGACTCGGAGCTTACTTTACCTATAATAGTCCGCGTGAGCGTGCCCACACTCTGAATAAATATCGATCAGCCCGTATAATCCATAAGAACCAAAGAAATAAGCTTTCCCAACACAGCACAGCCTCGACGCATGCAGGTCCTCCCTCCGTCGCAGGTCAGTTCCCCGATGACAGCCCACTGCAATCTAAGGTTCCCTTATCGATAAGCCCTACCTTAAATGCTGTACCCAAGAAGCTTAGCCTAAGGTAGCTCTGCTCCGAGTCCCGAAGGAGATTGCGTCCTCAGGCACCCACCCACCTGTGGAGTGAAGTGTGGACCGACCCTAGTCTTTCGTCCGTCCAGTTCAATTTCCGTCGTCATCTCCAAGCAACTCCAACTCAACTCAACCCATCTCAGCTCAATCCAGCTTCCGCGCTGCACTCTACAACATTACCAACAACCACCACACCTACACCTACGCCCACGACATCGACCTACCCTACAATCTCCATCTCCATCTCCACCTCCACCTCCACCTTCCTTTCTCACCCCGACCTACAAACCAAAACAAACAAACCCCCGAACAACTCCCCCGAAATAAACCCAACACCTCAACACCTTGACTAGGAAGAACACAGCCATGTCCTCACCGCACGAATCCCCCTCCTTCCAACCACCACCACCACCACAACAACCACAACAACCACCAACCCCCTCCCAACAACCAAACCCCTCCGAGCAACAACCCCCCCAAACCCAACCCCAAAAACTCCCCATCCACACCAACCACTGCCGCTACTGTAACCACCTCCTCCTCGCGACCACCCGCGAAATCCCGACGCTCCCGCGCCGCAAACCCCCAGCCCAGGATGCCGCGCTGATCCTGCCGCTGCCCCGCGCGGAGGAAGAGGACGAACTCGACACCGAAAACAACAACAACAACAACAACAACAAAGCCGAAGATACCGCCGCCGCCGCCAAACAACCCCAGCCCCACTACACGATCCTCCTCTCCACCACCATCCCCGACCGGAAGCCCACCGTGGTGCGGCGGGAGGACGGGTTCGAGAAGCGCCGGCTGCTCCGGTGCGGGCGGTGTCGCGTCGTGGTCGGGTATTTCTTGGATGCGGTGCATTTTCCGTCCGGGGGGGTCGGGGGGACGGCAGAAGGAGATGAAGATGAGGAGGAAGGGGAGGGGCAGCGGGCGAAGGTGGTGTATCTGCTGCCGGGGGCGTTGATGGAGACCGGGGTGATGGAGGCGAATGATGTCGAGAACTTGAGGGCGATGGATCGGGAGTGGGCCGGGTGGATGGAGAGTTCGTGAATTCCCCAAAAGGGGGGGGGGATGCTGTTCCTACTGTTTTGCGAAGCACACGTTCAAAACTATATACAGTTCCACAGGTTGGTCGATGTTGTAATTCGACATAGACTCGGGTTCTGTCTTTCATTTCCAAATTTGCTGAATGGCATACGCCAGCTCCATATACACTACAAGCGGAATAAACTTTATAACAGATGAACTAATCTAAGCTCAAGCCGACAACTCCGGCAACAGGGATCGCACAGGGAAGAAGAAAAGAGGCATTTCGTCACGAAGCGTCAGGGGAAAGGGTATCGTATGTCGTTTAGTTGGCAAGGATGGTGCGGACGAGATCTGCAGAACGCGATATCAGTCTTTGTGGCAGTCGAAGTGGGGATGTTGTTAAAACGTACCGGTATAGTTGATCTCGCCGGAGCTAGTGTCAACGGCCTTCAGCAACTCATCGACTTCCTCGTCGGACATCTTCTCGCCCAGGTTCGTGAGAACTATAGCCATGGTCAATATCGCAGAACCCCCGCTAATCATCCAGCGAGCGTGAAACATACTGTAGCGCAGTTGGCCGACCCCAATAAACCCAGTCAAGTCCTTATCGAACACTTGAAATCCACGGGTGTATTCCTCGGGCTCGCCGGGGTCGCGGAATCCTCCCGGGCGGTTGAGAACCTTCAAGAACGACTCGAAATCAACTGTATCACGGTCAGTCAGCAACAGTGCGCCTTATAACAGTCCCAGCATACGGGCGCGCATACAGTCTCCGCCAACGCTCTTCTCCAGATCCGCGATTTCCGCCAACGTGGGGTTCTGCCCGCAGGCGCGGAGGAGATCGCCCAGCGACTCGATGGCGACCTTGCCGGTGCCGCGCTTGTCGAATAGCGAGAAAGCTTCCTTGTAGTTGGTCGAGGCCTGTTGATCGTGGTGAGAATGAGGTGAGTGGGCCATCTTCAGACTGCGATAAAGATAGAGAGATAGACAGATAGAGAGTGCAAAGAAGGAATGGAAGCGATGGGGATGAAGAAGAGATGGAAAGAGAGAGATTCAGATCGTGCAGCTGAGGTGACGAGCAACCAGCGACGCAAGGCTGCGATCCGCGGAAACGAGGGGCGGAAGGGATTGGACGGGCAGACGAGGGGGCCGGGATTCCACCATGGTTCCAAACAACTCTCTCGTAGATGCAACACCAGAGGGTCAACAACAATCAATTGAGCAAACAATCCCTGGTCTTGATGATAGCGGACGCGCTGCAATAAGACGTAAGGTGTCGTCGCCCGGGCATTTCCTCATCCGCCCGCCAGGAACCCCAATGCAGGCCATGGCTCCATAAGCAATGAAATCCAGCCACGTACCATGGTGTTGTTTTGCTAATTCCACGAACGGAATGTTCTTTTTGTATAAGCAAAGGTGGCAAGGCGATGAATTGGCACGAAGAAATTAATCAGCACGTTCACCTGGGGGGGGGGGGGTAAACACCAAAAGAGTCTCGATTGAATGGAATGAAGGAGGGGAGGGAGGAAGAGGAAAGGAGGTGAGGCGGTGGAGGAGGAGGAGGAGGGAAAGTCTCAAAGAAGGGAGCGAAACAAGCAATGACGCCCGCCCCGCGGTTGTTGTTGTGGTAACCGGACACCTCAGGCTCCAATACGCCCAGCACCGAGTTCAGATCTATAGAAACACCGACCTTATGAGGGAAGAGGTACTCTGGTAATCTTCGATTCTAGTGAATTAAAAACGAAAATCTCACAATAACCTCCTTGCCATGGTATCTCTCTCATGAAACATTCCTGGTCACATCATAATCACAAACCGACCTTCGAAACCTGGCTACCACAAAGATAGGTAGCTGACTTCAACTTCCATCTCTGGCAAAGCTTGCGATAAGCGAATTAGATATACAAGAAAATTAAGTAAAAGCCCGCCGACTTCATGGGACTTGCAGTGATGTGCACGGCCGGAATTTGGTACATCGGCCACGTCATGCGGCTGCGCCGCCATTCAGCTTGTCGATACAGCTGCTGAGTAGATTGGCCGCCTCAGTCAGTAGCTCCCAGCGAGTGTTCGTGAACCCATTACGGAGAACCATCAGCAACCCCATGCATTGATTGCATCCTTTCATCCCCTCAAGGTCACTGGGTTCGCGAACCCCGCCGACCCGCCGCAAGAACTGCTGCATGTCATGTCGCTGCTCTGCAGGTCTGACCAATTTGACGGGGTGATTGAGCGGGCCTTCGAGAGCGTACCCGTAGCACCAGACCACGAGAGCGGCAACATAGAGGACCCATGGCCGATTGAGCAGGTAGTCATCCCGTCCTGAGTAGGCCTCGTCGTTATCGAGCACCCGCTCCTCGTCCAAAAGACACTCAGACAGAAACCTTAGAGCGTAGAATGTGGCGTCGCGGGCCGTTGCCTTAGTTGCCCATCGGTTCATTTTTTCGCGCGCCCCGTCGTAGTCCTTTCGGGTGATGGCGCGCCCCATGAGCCGCCCAGCTCCGGCAAAAACCTGACAATCCACAATGTCGACGTGGGAGGCCATATGTGCAAGTCCATGCAGGACATCGCGCGATTCAAATACATTGGCTTCGTCCCAAGGGTGTCGCGCTCGGTAACCACCGGTAAACGAACCTGGCTCCGACGTTCCTAAAGCCTCGTCGAAATCCCGTCGCCAGTTGTCGAAAGCCCGCAGTAGGGCGGACCTCCACTTATCGCGACCTCCCAACGCCTGTAGCACACCCAGCGAACTCACCTGGAGATCACGCTGGTTCATATGCCAGCTGACACTAAGCAAGCCTGCCATAAGAATGGTGCGTCCAAATGCATTAGTTCGGACCGGTTGGCCATTGAGCGTCCTTTTAAGACCATCCAAAAACATGAGAGGTTTGACTCCATTCGCATGTAAACTGGATTGCACTCGAGCCACCTCAGAGGCATTAGTCGCAGACCATAACGCTCCATCGCACGGAAGAGGCAGCCGCAGCTCGTGGGCCACCATCTTGGCTGAATGTCCAAACATGGTCGCATGCGTAGAGTCTAACACAAAGGCTGCAAATGCTACCCGCCTTGTAGCTTCAGCTTTGATCCAGTGAGTCCATGACTCCTCCGCCACGAAATCGGGAGTCATTGTCGACCCGGTGACTGAGCGGCTTTGTCGATCGTCTCTAAGGCTCGCTGGAGAATCTAGTGCGGAGCGGCCAATCAACGAACTGCCACGCCGCATTAACGTAAGGGTAGTATCATGATGTATATGCGCTCGCTCATGCAGTGCACGGGTGGAGTACATCTTCTCGTACACTTCGAGGAGGAGCAGTGCCTGGAAAACCCACAGCTTGGCTGGAGGCCGAAAGTCGGCATCCATGAACAGCTCCCAGCGTAAATGCCATGCAATAAAGTTCGCCAGCTCAGCTGCGGTCTCAGTGACGTCTGACCCATACATCTTGTCCAGGGTAGACGCTCCAATAGCTATGACGGCCAGCAGAAGCAGGTTTGGAGCTTTGTTCAAGACAAATGACGGTCGATGCAGAATGGGCAATTGAGGGTGGAAATGATGCCAGTACGATGCGATATAGGCCTCCATCATGCGCGGTCCTAGGACATGGCAGTCGTCATTCATATCACCGTCCATCAAAGCGTCCTTCCGTTTTGCCACTGCTGAGTATGCTGCCTCATTAAAGCGTGTACCCATGAGCGCAAGAAGCTCCTGTCTCTTTTCATTTGATAGGCTCATTCGTGAAGACCCAGCGTCCAGGATACTAGTCACGCTCATCGGGTCGTGCGGAATTACTCCGTTCATGAAACTCCCGTATCCAGGATCGCCCAGCAAAAATTGGTTCTGTAGCTGGATCGCATTGAGGTAGTTCGGGATCATATTGGCTGCAGACGGGTAGCCCATCGAAGACGAGCTGGGAAGAGGGTCATTGAACAGCCACGCCGTGAAATCCTCGGGCATTGCGAAGGGAGACCGGTTGTGCGTCTCTCCGCCAAAAATCGGGTAGACACAGGAGGCCAGAGCGTCAAAACCAGGGTCTGTCACCGTCGACCCCGGAGCCATCATACCAGGAACAGTGTTCAGCGCATCAAAAGTACTCACGGTGTCCAGGGTCGCCGGCGCTGAAGTTGTCACTGCTGGCGCCAAGGAGATACCCGCGTATCCATCCCCAGGCATCGGCGCATATGACGCCGAATTCGCCAGCGACTGTCCGTCCATATAGCTAGATAGCATCGTCGTTTCATTTACAGAATGACGTCCTCGATTCTGTTGACCTGTTTCTCCCGAATGTAGAGACATGCTAGTCGATGGATGACTTCGGTGCGTATGGTAATCCGAGGGGCTGAAAGTACTGGCTGACTGGCCCGCCGGCGAGCTGGTGGTTTGGTTGCTCAGACTGACAGAGCGAGAAAAGGTGGGATCTGATAGCTCAACGCCCGGCTGTGGATTAAGTGGTTGGTGTTTGTATGTCTGAGGAGAATGCCTTGTCAGAGAGGAAACCGCAGCAGATTTGACGTCGATATTGGTAATGGTGCTAGAATCTACCGGTCCCTCAACTGACACCTGGGTTGAATTGTGGGTAGGAGAAGGTATTGGGACCCCAGTCGGGGACTCGCTGTGGTTTTTCTTAAGCACGGGCGGCTTGTTCTGCTCAATTGATACACTTGGTGGGTTATTCACGGTAGCCTGCGCGAAACTGTCCCGCTTCTGCAGTTGAGACCCTTGCGTCGTATGTCGTTCACGATGACGCAGGCACAGGTCCTGTCGGACAAAGGATCGGTAGCAATCGGGAAAATCACATCGGTAGATCTGTTTTGGTGTATCTAGATTGATCGCGCTAGTCAGCTTACACTCCTTTGAACAATCCTTGAAGGTGGGGAAACAAACGATTCAGCTGATGACGGTACAGGTGTTCTGCGCGCGAATAACTCTTCCCACAGCCATCAAAGGTACATTCAAACTTGCGATCCGTCTGAACTTTCCGAGTTCTCTTCCTCTTCCGCGAGGAGCCATCCAGCGTCGCATCTGCCGCATCGTTTTCGGTCGACATATGTGTTTCCTCACGGGAGCCTTGGAGTCCCTGTTCCGGGGGAGCTACTGCAGTGACAGCTGAAGTCATAATGCGCAAGGATATGGCAGTGGAAAGATTCGATCATTAGTGCCTTGTCGGTGGGCGGACATGACCCGCAAGAGCTCGAACTCAGATCCGGGGAGTAGCAAGATCAGCCATAGGAAGCTAGAGTGAATGGGGAAGATTCCAGAAAGAGGGTGTGTTAATCGTGAGCGTTAGGTACGATCGTAGACTCGCGCGGCCCCGTGGGGACCGAAATCTCGGCGGGCGGGACGGAGCAGCTTCTGGCAGATGTCGGGGAGGGTTTCGATCTATCGGAAAGAATGTGAGGCTAGGTATCCGAATAAGAGCGGTATCAGGTATGTGTAGGGGCTGGAGCATGCGCAGCGCGCGCGAGGATGGGTTTATCGTATGACAGATTGTAGGCTGTTGGGGAAAGTTTAGGAATTGGAGACGGAAGAGGGGAAGATGGTCGGGGAGGTTCCGAAGAAACTCACGACTTAGCGCAGCCCCCGATTGCCACTGAGTGAGCGCAGTCTTGAAAATCCACAGCCGCCTAGGATTAAACGATAGTAGTAGAGGTGGGATTCCGGGGCTGATACACCTTAAAGATGAGCAGTGAGGGGATCATAGATGGACCCTAAGACTCCGGGGTGGTTGGAGAGATCTTGTGCTGTTGCGAAGGTGGGGCAGATCCCGATCGAAGGGCGGAACGGATTCGATGGAGGGATGGAATGCTTTACAACGCAACCTTAATCTTTATTGACAATACTTACTCACATGTACGGAGTACTGTCCGGACTATCACCCCTGCACCGAACAAGTCATGGAACCAAGCTAGAACATTTAACTGAATCAATCGTCGAATACTTGTCGGATGATCACATAAAATGGAGGTTCCATACACGCGATATACCTACACTGTACATATACACGCAAGTATGGAGACCATTCTGAATGATCTAATTCCTGTACCTCAAATACTCAATGACGAGGTGTTTCAAAGATATATCAAATCCCTACTCAAGCATCCTTTTCATACTGATATGTCGAAAGCGAGATGAGCTTCCCCTACACTAGGTACTAGGGTAATCTTCATTGAGAGGAAAAAACAATGGCAAAAGAAAGGTCGTGCCCGGGTTCGAACCGGGGTTATTGGAACTTGTTTGGTATCAAAATCCAAAGTGATAACCACTACACTACACAACCTGTTCTTGAGATACATGATGTTTAGCTAATCTATAACCTTGTTGGGCACTCATGTAAAAAAAAACTGTTTCCCGGAGTTGGTCGCAGAGAGTCAATATACCTCAACGATCTCCTGAGTTTCACCTGGCATGCCTCCACAGTGTCGATTTAGCAGCAACAATGAATTAATTGAACTGTGCTCCAGACCCATGTGAAGAATGCCCCTAATGTGAGCCCGCTAGGTTTTGAGTTGAGAAAGGGTCGCAATCACAATACTATCGTACAGGTCAGACGAGTGACATGTGCCCGGTCATGCCAGATTTTGAGTCGATTTCGTGGTTCGTTATAAGTAACGGGCGTACCATTGTTCTTATAATATATCTAAGTTTGCTACACTATAATACTAATGGTGTCACGTTTTTACAGAGTGGGCAACCGTGCAAGCTGCTTTTTCCGCTTGCTGCCCCCCCCGGATGGGTTGTCGCCGCTCATCATCCGCGAATGCTTATAAAACGACCTGATGCAACCGTGTATGGGCGATGCTGATGCTGGGGTGAGAAAATACATGATGGGCAGTCTGAATGGATTCCCAACGCACAAACGCATTCTGATTCTTCTCAGATAGATGCCGTGGACGCGGAATGTGTTCGTGTCAATGTCCGCCCCGACCCAGAAGCCGAGCTTCGGTGGGTGGTGGGCGCTACTCCCAACATCCTTAGCGGTGCTGTGACCTGACTTGCTCAGTCCCGTAGCTCCTCCGATTTGAACATCTATCCACTGAATCTGAATCGGGTGGCCTCAAGTCGGCCCAGACCGTCTCTGGGAGCCACATTTCGGCGGCGGTACGAATTGGTGAAATCTGTACTTGTCAGTTTATAGGAATCGATAATCCAGTGGCTGATTTGATCTTACCTTGAAGTAAGACGCGAATCTTTCGGGTCTCACCCGACTGAATCTTGTCAAACAGCCCCTTCAATAGACGCTCAGCCTCACCCTGCTTCATCGTACCTGCAGGAAGCATTTGCAAAGTGGACTGCAGCCAGGTTCCCGCATCTTCAGGCATCAGTTCGAACATAGACATCAGAACGCCGGAGGCATCTGGGAAACACTCCCCAGGGAAGGTAAACATCATGCCTGTGAGGATCCGCTGGACAAGCAGTTGACCCTGGGATGCGACAAGCCGTTTGACTGCCTCACGAACTTCGACTGGCGTTGAATATGCATTGCCATCAGACGTGGTGAATTCGGAAACCGCTGGCTTTTCGAATGCAAAGCTGAACAGATCATGATAATAATGAAGAGTGGCAATTAGAGGGTCAATCTGCTGAAGGGTGAGGGCGCTTAGGGCTGCTGAGAAAATGGGAACCGAGAGCTCAGATGTTATGCATTCCTTGGGATAGAAGCGGATCGCATCCGACGAGAGACGGTAAAAGTCCTCGATGACTGGTTGCAGATGGTTAGCTAGGCGACACGAATGACGTCTGATGATAATGGACACGTACCATCAGGTAGGTTCTCCGGAGGCAAATCATTGAGGATGCGCAAGAACGAAATTGCTTGCTGTTCGTAGAACTGGAAGACAGCCTGACTTGTGTTCGCATCCACAAACTCAGCACCCTCCGAGAACTCGCGGACAACGGCATCAGTGGCCCACAAGAAACATCCTTCTCGCGACGCCTGGAAGCCACTGGCAAGACTCTGGGCCAAAGTTGGCAGTAGAGGAGTCATTGCAGTTCGGTAGGAGATGATCATATTGCGCCAGCAACGGCAAACTCGTTCGAGGATTGGTGTGGATGATGTGAAGTTCAGCGCAATCGTGCTCATGATGGGCAAAATCTCACCGCAGTACTTCACGGCGGGGTTATCTTCACGGGGAGAGACATATGGGTTCACGACCATGACGAAAATGGTAATCAGCCCAATATGATCTATAATATAGTCAGCGCGCCACCCTCTATAAATTCATGTCGTCCATCCTACCAGCAACAGCCCGTTGGCTTTCTTCATCTTGAGCGTTATTCGCTAAGTTCATGATGCGAGCCATGATAGGATCACAGAACAATTTCAAGGTGTCATAGATCTTCTCCAGAGGTTGAACTGCAACCACTGCTGCCACGCCCTCAGTGACCTCCTCTTGACTCGCAGGCTTCAACTTATCAATCACGGACTCATAGAACGTGTGGAGCTGGGCAATGTGACCTCCAAGCAGCTTTTGACAATCGGTTCCCAGGTACTTGAAGGCCAGAGCCGCAGCCTGGACCACTTCGGGAGAGCTATGCTGGAACCCAGAGATGACGTAGTTCAGCTGGGCCTCCAAAGTCTCCGGGTGCTGTGCCGTCCACTCGGTGTAGCGTGCAAGCGCCATGATAGCCTGGAACCGGACCTTCTCTTGATTGGGAATCTGCACGATCAAAGGAATGACTTGAGTTAGGACAATGCTTTCCTCAGGATCCACCATGCGTCCCATGGCTCTCAAACTGAACAATGGTGCCTCAAGCTCTTGCCAGTGTGGGACGTGCTCATCACTGGACTGCGACGCATATTTGGAGACCCACTGCTGGATCAACTGGTATGCTTTAGTCAAGCACTCGGTAACCCCGATAACAGCGCAGCAATCCTTGAGTACATCTCCCATTGAGTGGCGGAAGTGCCGGAATTTCTCCTCCTGCTCGCGGTCACCTCCAAACAAATCCGTCTCGCCTTCTTCGGGTCCAGGATATTCGAGGTGCTTGACCATGATGTCCACCAACTGCGAAAAGACGTCGCTCAAATTCACTCGGGCGTCTGCGTATCGATCCAGCGTCACGTACTGCTTCAGTTCGTACCAGAAAACAAAGGTCAGCGAAATCGCGTCTCGTTCCCAATCCCGAGCGCAACATTCCAGAACTGCCTCGACCAGACCACGGAACTCGGATGGTAGACGTGCGATCAACACAACCCACGCTTCACCGGCTTCTGCAAAAAGTCTCGTGATACCCTTATAGGCGTCGGTATCCTCGGATTCAGCAAATTCGGCAATCTTGGGGCGAAGTGAGATTATGCGCGGATACAAGGCTTGGATAATGGCAAGCGAATCGTCGACTTCGCGGGTATCTCGATACAGTGTGCACATGCTGTCTACTGCAGCCTCGAAAGATCTATCGTCGTCAAGTCCCTTGAGAATGACGTCCATCAAAGGCGACTCCACAATCTTGGCGGCCGGAATCTCGCGCATCCATGAAGTGATACAATCCAAGAGGCGCGGGTTAGTAGAGGCAGTAGCTGTGTAATGGCAGAAGCGATTCTGGTCAGCAATGTAGAAGTAAACATACCAGGGCGGTAGGTTACATACGTGATGACTGGGCGTACTGAATCAACAGGTGCATCACCTGTTCAGCATTGTCTTCCAGGAGTTCTTTTGTCCGCATAATGAGATCATCTTCCTAGGTAATGACGGAGTGTTAGGTTCTGGGGGACACGCGATCGCTGAGTAACAGTCTGAAGGGGGGTTTCTCGTGTCAAACATACACTCAGATTGATCTTGCGGCCTTCCGTTACTTCTTCCGGGAGAATCTTTAGGAATTCCAACACGCAGTCTCCGGCGCTACTTCCCAGTGCAGCGCCCACAGTAGGGAGTACGTCCTTCCATGCAAGCATCTGAATGGCCAGACTGGCCAAGCATACGCATAGCTGTGTTTGGATTGGCCGAGGACCGGCGGCGAAACCCACAAGCAGGTTTAGGATAGAGTCTCTGAGCGCGACTACAGATTCGGTCGGCAACTGATCGAGATCGAAGATGATCTTGTTGGGGTCAGCATGCAGGAATGGCTGGACCCAGGTCGGAGTACCAATTCACCTTTCCTTTCAACGTCGTCGCTGCGAACAACTTGGCTTCGACAGGAACATCCGGAGATTGTAACATTTCGTGGGTGATAGTCCAAGCTTCGACCTAGAGACACAAGCCCAGCAATGGTCAGCATCGAGATCATGGGCGGCATCAACTTGATCCAGGATGGCGGAATGAGGGGTAGAATAGCCTACCGATTTCTGAAATTTCTCTAGGAATTCATGGGCATGCGTTTTTTCGGCGCGCGACACATTTCCTTGCATAGTTGCGACCGCGGCCAGGACTGGGCCAAAGGCCTGTCCTGTAGCCCCCTCCTTGCTCGTCATCGTTTGTCAACTCGGGGGGTGGGATGTTCTAGAGAGGGGGAGGAGGAAGTTGGTGTAATGGAATTGGGAGAAAGAGGGGTTCAGCCAGGCCGGAAGGCTTAACACCTATGCAGTGCGATCATATACACTCATTAAATAACATTAAAAGAAAGGGTTCAAAGATGAGAGACAAGCGCGGAAACCCTCAACTGAAGTGGCGGAAGATTTGGAGGAAGAGGGACGAAAGTGAAGGGAAAGGGAGGGGGAGATTGACTTAGTAGTAGTGGTGGTGGAGGTGGGATGTAGTGAGTGGTCACTGACGATCGACCCAAACGGAAAAGCTGTGTGAGCCTCCCTCTCCCTCCGTCGAACTTCCCCGATTCCGAACCGTCCTGAACTTACGGAGCTCTTCCTTCAGTTCTCTCTCTACGATACCCGCGCAACTCCATCAACGCGTCATTTTCTACAGCTGCCTTTGCTAGGATCTTGGTATCCTTGCGCTCGCTTTTACACTTTACTTAGCCACTCCCTTCATTTGCGCACTTCGTTTGCCCACCATGACCGGCCGTGGAGGCGGTGGAGCTGCTCGCAAGACGCTGCTTGCGCCTATTCATTTCATCTTCAAGCTTCTTCAGCAACGGTCAACAGTGTCTATCTGGCTTTACGAGCAGCTGGCTTTCCGGATAGAAGGGAAGATTCGGGTAATTGACCCTGTGTTTCTGGTGGCTGTGATCGCTCGGCTAACAATCTCGGCACAGGGTTTCGATGAGTTCATGAACCTGGTCGTTGACGATGCAGTGGAGGTTCGGATGGCTACCAGGACCGAGGAAGAGAAACGGAGGCCGCTCGGTATGTGAAATCGTATTGCGAGATCAAATTGTCTTGTGCGTACGGAAAGTTGCTGACTGTTGTTCCACTCTACAACAGGCCAAATCCTCCTCAAGGGCGACAACGTCTCCCTGATCCAGGCCGTCCAGTGATTCTATCGGGGCGTTAAGGAATTGATTGAAGGGAAAAGGGATTCTTGTTTTTTAACCGATCTCGTGCCGTTATACGACTTTGTTTGCATTTCTTTACCTTTCGCTTTTCACGGATGTCGCTGGGAAACAAATATTGCACCTCTAGCAAAATAGACGAACCTATGGATCGATATGACTCGCTTTTCCGGAGAATCAGTGTTGGCGCACCAGAGACCGGTCATCACCGACGATGAGCATGTCTACAGGCCAGTCATGATCCGCTACCGGTATCTCTTCGGTCGGGAGAAGCATTTGCTCCTTGAGAGATAGGGCAACTGCGCGATACTTAGTAACAGGCTGTTTCATGGTTGGTTCGTTGGTGTCAGGGTGCTTGTTCCTTACCAAGGAAGGGCAACTTCGGCTTCGTTGACTCACTTGCAGCCCCCTCTCTTGAATACCTTGTCAGAAAATGATCATAATAGCCTTTACCATGACCTAATCTCCTGAGCCCCTCGTCAAATGCCATTCCTGGCATCACAATCAAGTCGAGCCCGTAAGGCCCTTTTGTAGCGTCTTCTGGCTGGGGCGAGACTCCTTTGCCCCCAAAGCAATTCATCTTACTGAGTACTTGGACCTCAGAGA